GGTTTAAAGCTCCCTTAGATGTTCTTCCCAAAGTTCCTTCCCGGAGATGCTTTGAGGATAAAGTGGAACAGGCCAAGTCTTCTTCAAATATAGAATCGGGTCATGTGCAGCAGTGCTGGTCCCAATTCAGTTGTTAATTAAGGACAGATATAGCAGATACAATTTTTGTTCTGCTTTTAAAGGTTGATTTTTTCCTTTCATGAAAAATTCACCATTGTCCGTGATGACAACATAGAAACAAGGTTTTTCTTATAAATGTTAGGAAATGCATTTTACTTTGCGTCCTACATTCTAAGTAAGCACTTGATTCTCGCTTAGATCGCTATGTGGGAAGAGGCAGCTGGAGGTAGGCTGAAAAACTGTGCCAAGTGCTTGCTTTTTCTGCTGAAGGGACTGAGGTCACGGACTTTAACAGTGTCTGTATAACAGTGTATGTGAGAATTTAGCCCTGGTCTTTGCATGTAGATTCTTGACTATTCCCACCCCTGCCAGTGAGCCTCTGAGCCTGCCCGAGAGCGTCTCGGCAGGTGGGTGAGATAGATACTGAGAGTGCCCTCAGGAGACCATCCTAACAGCGCTCTCATGACTTTTCGGCACTGTCCCCAGCCTGGGGCTCCACCCAGCTACCTCTGAGGTGAGTCCTCCGGAGAATGGCAGGAGAAGCTCTGCCTGCTTGTCCTCAGAGAAAACTGACCATGGTTCCGGTTTCCTCCTGCTTTCCAGGCTTAGATGAGATTTACTGTGCAGTTTTATATTCTGTTTTTTTTTTTTTTTTTTTTTAGTTTTTTTCTGTTTTAAATCATTTACACATGGCCTTTTTAATGCTTACGTAATATTACTGGGCAGTACTAACCATACCTTTGTTCTTAGGTATTCAGTTTGATTCTGCTAAGGAACAGTACAGGGGACACCTTTACTAGGAAAGAATTTTTCTGTAACTAGATTTTTTTTTCTTTTCTTTCTTTTGGTAAAGGGTTCTAAAAATATTTGTAGAAGTCTTTTTAAAGGAAAATATATAAATAAATCAAGGGCTGGAGAGATGGCTTAGTGGTTTAGAGCACTGGCTGCTCTTCCTGGGCTTACATGGCAGTTCCAGTTCTGGGAGGATGTCACGCCGTCTTCTGGCCTTCGAGAGCACTGTACACACGTGGCATCAACATAAGTTCTGTGTGGCCCTGCCTGTCCTGGAACTCTCTCTTAGACCAGGCTGGCCTCGAACTCAGAGCAGCCTGCCTCTGCTCCCCGAGTGCTGGGATTAAAGGTGTGCGCCACCACATCTGGCTAAAATTCCGTGTGTGTTTGCCTCACCTCCACCCCCCCAAAATCCCTATATGGTCTTTGTGCACATGCACGTGCTGTGTGGACACCTGTGCCACTATGCACACTTGGAGGTCGGCATGGTCTTGTGGGGTCCATTCTTCTCTTCCGAGTGTGCGTGTCTGACGATTGCTCGCAGGTTGGTTAGGCGTGCAGAGCCATCTCACTGGCTTCAGAAGTTCCTGAAGTATCCTGCCCAACTGTTCCCCAAATGTTTCTATAGCCATATGGGACAGAAGAGAACCAGTTTGTGCGCGTCGTCTCCCGACCACCATGTGCCACCTCCAGGCAAGCACACCCAGACACACAAGTAAATAAAATGAAGTCTATGTGTGGACACACATACATGTCTGTATGTGCTTAGACCAAACAAGACCTTATCAATCCTTGCTGTAACCAAAACTCGTTTTGTGTACATAAAAAAGAATTTGACATTTTATACCAACTATTTAGTTATACCAAGAATTTATAATTCCAGGAGTTTTCAAAATAGTTTGATGGATGATTTATGACAGTTCCTTTAAAATTTCGCATTGCTTTAGGAAATGACAAATATAGTTAATAATTGCTTTAGTTAATAACAAATATAAATATATTTAGTTCTTTTATGTTTGAGACTCAGGATTACACAAATTTTGGGTTCTATTCTTTTTCTATGCACTGTGAAAAAGGACGACTTAAGCCTGGTGCGCTGGCACATGGCACTCTGGGAGACTGAGGCAGGAGGATTGCTCCGAGTTCAAGAGCTGCCTGAGCTACATAGTTCAGTTCAAGACTGCTGTGGGATACCTGGTGAAATGGCAAGTCAGACACTGAGCCTGGGCGGGGGGTCAGCAGAGAGTGTGCTCGCTGCAGACCCAGAGACCCAGAACGACAAGCTGGGGCACCCCTACGGCTCACCCTGCTCTAAGGGGGCAGAGCCATTGGCTTCCAGTCGGCTGCCTCAGAGGAGTAGCTGTGTGACAGTGGAGGACAGCCTGTGCCATCTTCTGGATCTTACGCATAAGCACAGGTGCACACACCCCACCTGCGCACACGCTGTGCAGGTGCCCTCGTGTGGACACTCATGCAATAAAGGAATAAATAGAGTTTTTTAAAGCAAAGAAATTGAAGATTTAACTGGGTTATAAGTGTGGAGTGGATTACAGAGGGCTGATGTTCCTCCCAGGAACTCTTTGGCATGTGTGTTCTGTGCTTGTGTGTTGGTCTGTGTGGGTCTGCGTGGCTCCTAGAGGTCAGCAGTGGGGTGTATCTCTCCTCTTGTGTTGAGGCAGGTGCGCAGCCACCCTGGATGCTCACTGCCTTCTGGGCTTTCTGCCAGTGAGCCCAGGCTCAGCTGTCTGTGGGCCACAGCGATGGCTACAGATACAGGCAGGTGCCATGGCACTGGCACCGAACTTTGGTCCCCGTGCTTGGCTACATTGAAACTGATGATTTCACATACATGGCCCATCTGTGTGATTGTTCAGCTTGGGGAGGTCTAACTGTGGTTCCACATGTGCGCTCCCGCCGTCTTTACTGCGGCTCTCCTGTCTCCATCTTCCAGCTCATCCGAAGGGGGCTGTGTCAGGCAGCCATGCTGTCTGTGTCCCCTCTGAGAGGGTCGGCTCTGCTTGAGGAAACTGTGAACTCTCCTGCCTCTTCCTTTATGTACTGGGGCTCCAGACACATGCCACCATGCTTGGTTTTGTGCTGTGCTCGGAGTCAGGCCCGGGCTTTGGGTGTGCTCAGCAGGCACTCCACCACTGAGGGACGCCCCAGCATGTGTCCTCTTGAAGTTCTGTAGTGTTCGTTCTGGCCTCAGGCCCTGGGAGTTTCTGAACACCACATCGGTTGGCATCCATGCCAGTATTTCTCTCACTCAGGGGGACCGTGCTCAAAGTTGAGCTCACAGGCTTGTGTGTGTCATCTAAGCACTTCTGAGTTATGCCGCCAGCAGGGTCAGTGCTTTTAAACGTGGCACACAGGCTGGCTTTGTTCTTTACTAATTAGGTAATCCTCAGAATTAAACGCCAAGGTTTTCCCTGGGGCTTCCTCTTGCTACTCTTGTCACACTATGCGAGGGAGCTTGAGTGTGTGGCTGGTGCCACCCTGTCTCGTTTCTTCTCCCCCTCCCCTTTGGAGATGGCCCCTCTCTGCAGCCTCAGCTATCCTGGAACTCACCATGTAGACCAGGCTGGCCTCAGGTTCACAGGGGTGCCCTGCCTCTTCCTGCTGTGCACTGGTGGGTGTAGGCGTGCCTGGCTGCCGGCCATGTGCTTTCTTCACACGTGTCCTGTCCCCAGCCAGCTCCCTCTGTGTCATCCCAGAGGCCAACTCCCTCATGCGCTCAGGATGAGTGTCTGTTCGGGGTAATCTCAGCATGTCTGTTACTATTCCAATGGTCAGCTAGTTTCACTTCACTATGCTCCGACTGTGATCCTGGAAGACAGTTTTTATTTGTGTCTGTTCCCGCTGCTGAACGCATTTGGAGATGTTTTGTTCTGAGATCGAGGCACAGCCGACCATCCTTTCCCCACACTAGGAGTGATTGCTTGGTCACATCTAACCATTTTCAAGTCCTTGCTGTTGTTTATGTGGACATTGTGTTTGCATACTGTGTTCATTCAGTAATTCCTGTTGTCTGCCGAGTGTTAATGCACTAACCACACTGCGTGCTGAGATTGTGGGTTGATTTGTAGAGAATTGTATAGAATTGAGTTTTGAAATTAGGAGCAGGGCTTCTGTCTGTGTAGGTTTCTGTGGTGCTGCTGCAGGAGTCTGTAATTTGGTGATTGCAAGCACGCGGGCCAGTCTTGGAGAGAAGTTTTTAAGTATTCTCACTTGGCTCCAAGATTTGTTTGTAAGTCTCCAACCTTTGTTTCCTTACTGTGAGTGGCTGTTTCTTTTTCCAGTTATATCTCCTAATTATTTGTTATTCGTTGAATTGAGAGTGATTAGATCCTCATGTACCTGACTAAGGGTAAGACTGTAGAAATACGTTTTTTAAATTGTCTGGGGCTGGAGAGGTAGCTCAGCATTTAAAAACATGGCCTTCTAGGGCCCTCAGGTCTATTTCCACCACGGGCGTCTGGGAGCCCACAGCCAGCTCCAGGGAGTCACACCCTCCTTCTCGCCTCATGTTGCATTCACATAGACACGTACGCACGTGTAGATAAATCTTAATTGCCTGAAATTTTAGAGTTGTAGAGCCAGAGGAAACCTTAAGTGGTTTAGTGCAGTCCTTTCATTTATGGGTCAGATATTTCGCTAGCGGAGAGTTGAAGTGGCTCCAGTGTTACACCTTCTGGCGTCAGGTCTTGGATAGCGCCCTCAGCTGTCAGCTGGACGTTGTTTTGGGGAGGTCTGGCAAGGTCACTTAGGGTTCTGTTTGAAGGTACTTATTTTCAGTCTGGCTGCGAATATTGAATCATACCATTAATGCCCATGTTTTTATAGATTTTTATCTTTTCCTTTAAAATTTCTTGGTCATTTTCATGTGTTGTTTTGAAATTTTTATTTGCTTGTTTATTTTGTAATGCTGGCAGTCAGGCCTTGAGCATTCTGGGCAAGCATTCTAAGCTATACCCTTAGCTCTTGATATTTTCCCAGGTTTTAAAATGCATTAGTATGGTTATTTATAAGTCTCTTTAATGTCATTTCAGTCTGTAAATATTAAGGCATTTTAAACTTTTGTCCCGCAGGCAACGACACCCCCTAGTCAGGGAAGGCCAGACTCTCCAGTGTATGCTAACCTGCAGGAGCTGAAGATGTCGCAGTCTGCTCTGCCTCCGCTTCCCGGGAGCCCAGCTGTTCAAGTCAACGGGGAATGGGAAACTCACAAAGACAGCTCAGGCCGCTGCTACTACTACAACCGGGCAACCCAGGAGCGAACCTGGAAACCACCCCGATGGGCTCGTGATGCTGGCCCAGGCCGCGAGTTCCAGAGCTTAGGCGATCAAGAGGTGTGCGCACGCTGGGGCCGGAAGGCTCCTGCTTGCTTTCTTTATTACTCAGAAATGAGGGAAAGGGTGTGTTTTCTAGGTGTCTGTGGTAGAGCACTTGGGTCTCTAGGATAGCAGACATTTCCCAGCTTCCTTCTGACCTCTAGCTAGTGTGCACGTGCTGGGTTAGAGAGGGCTCACTCCTTCCCGGGGGCCCGAGCTGTCCGCTGCCTCAGGAGGTGCCAGCGCAGCGCGAGGGCACTCTGCCAGCGGGCCCCGAAAATCACATAGTCAGGGCCAGCTCTGGCTGCATGGCAAGCTTGAGGCCGGCCCATTTGTAGCTCCCTTCCCCCAAAAGGATGCTTACTGCCTAAATCAGTGAAAACAGAGAAGGTCCATGGCTTGATCTAGCGGAGAAGTAGAAACAGTTACTTCACTGAGCAAAACAGTCACTTTCCTTTCTTTGTGTTCTGGGGCATCAGCCTTCTTTATGGTTTCCTGCCATCAAGGATCTAAGCTGGCCTTTAATTCTGCTTATGGGAAGGAATGACGGTTCTCGTGTTGTAGTAGTTGGGCTAGTCAAGATAGTACAGGGTTCTCACAACTGTCCTCACCGATGCCCTTCCCTCTCCTCGTACCTCTGCCGGGTCAGAGAGGCCCGACTAGTTACATTTTAGTGAAGCCCTGGCCTTCTTTTGTAGTTAGATGGGAAGGGAAGAGGTGGGTGGGATTGGTAGGACTTGGTGGAGGCCTGCCATTTTGTGCTGGGCCACACATGAGGGATACCAGCTCTCACAGGAGGCAGCTGGCTGCAGAGAGAGGTCCAGTGAATGCCCCAGGAAGGAGCGAGGTCATGCGTCCTGCAGTTAGCAAAGTCTTAAGAACTCTGTAGCTAATATTCCCCTTCTTGTCCTACTTCTCAATTGGCTATTCATAGCTCTCTTTGATGGTGACTTACAGTGTTCACAATTGAGAATAAAATAGAAATACCACAGCCAAAGTGCTCAAAAAAGGTCGGGAGCGGCGGTGCGCTCCTACTTGTATCTGGATCACAGCTCTAGAAAGATTTGAAAATAAACCATCTGTGTGTCAGTAGTAAAATCTTTATAATTATTAAGGAAAGGTTAAATTATAGAATAGTAGAAATTTTGAGGTGTACACAGGAACTTTTTATAAATTTCTTAGCTTCTAATTCTGTAAATGAAGGTGATCTGTCTGTTGGTCTCAGCTTACCCTTTCTACACATACTGTGTAAAAATAGATATTTCCAAAGTGTCTAGAGCACATCTTTTACCACTTCTGGAGAAAGGGAACACATGGGAGATAAAAATGAGAGACCATGAGTCTGAAAATGTCTTGTTCTGCTTTTGTATTTAATGAATCAAATGCTTGAGTATAAAATTCTAGGTTGGAAATCATTTTCTCTCACAGTCGTAAGGTGTTTTGAACTTCACTTGAGTCTGACATCTGTGTCGGTTGCTTGACTTTGCTGGGGACCCTGTGGGTCTTTCCATGTGGACTACCTGGTCTCTGGAGGTTTCAGCTGTCCTGCCTACAGCATGGACTTGCAGGATGTTGGTGTCAGCATGCGGCCTCAGTGGTTCTTAGTCCTGTACCCATCCTAACTGTTTTGCTTTGCAACTCAGGGTCTTCCTGATGGCCATCTTGAGGGGAGTAACTCCCACACTTCTTTTGGGGGAATGCCTAGAGGATAGGCATGAAGAAAGGAGTTCTGTACCTTTAACCCTCTTGTCTTTCTGTCTGTATACCCTGACCTTCCTCTCCCCGCTGTAATCCTGTTGGTTCCTACGCTGTCCCCAATTCGCTGAGTAAGCGTATTATCCCGTGTCCCAGTGTAGACTGTGCTCTCTCCTGCATGGCTAGTTGAGGCGCTTGTTACCTCTAACTGCTCACCAGGGCCTTGTGGGTGTGTGTCTTTTTAGACATAATTCACTGCAGATATTTTTGTAAAATTTGAAAAAAATTTGATCATGCCGCTGTCTTTTCTCAGCTGGGGTTCCAACCCTCCTCAGACTGGGACCCTACTCCAGGTCCTCATGTTGTGGTGACCCCAACCACAAAGTTATTTTGTTGCTACTTCATAGCTATAGTTTTGCTGCCGTCATGAATCATGATTGATATCTGCTATGCAGGAGGTCTAGTCTGTGAAAGGATTGTTTACCCTTACCACCAGGGCCCCGTAGGTAGGTGGAGAGGCTGCCTTAGAAGCTTGTCCGGTGTTTTCCTCCGAGCAGTGGCCTTTCCTAGATATGTTTTCTAGGACCTTGTCGGTGCTGGTAGACTGATTGTCACACTGAGGGAGTGCTGCTTTCTAACAGCGCGTGTTCACAGCAAAGGCCGGCGGCCTGAGGACAGTGGCGCTGCTGCCCACGCTGCCCACGCTGCCCGGGACATCCACCGCGGCTGCTTGATCACAGCTCAACCTTGACCAGTGCTCCCTGGCCCTACAGTCAGCTGCTGCAGGCTCTTGTTGCATATTCTATTTCTGTTTTTAGCTTCTTTGTTGTGAATTACAGCTCAACATTAATCTTCAATTTTACTTTTTTCCCTCAAAAATCTTCTGTTTTCAGTACATGCTTTTAAGTTCCTATGTGAGCTTTTCTTAGTGCTAGAATCTTTTATTTATTGTCCGGCCACGCGAGATGTGTGTGTATCTGTGTGTGTAATTTTTTTATTGGCATATGTTCAGCACACACAGGGTTGAGTTACTTTTTATTTAAAGAGCTAACATAGTTCCAAGTTGTCTATTGACTTGGTTCTTTTGGTTTGGTTTGCTAATTTATTCTCGTGTTTTCTGGCTTCCATTGTTGATGCTGAAAACTCAGCTTTCCCTTTGATCCTATGAAGAGTAGGCTGTCTCTTGTTGGCTGCTCGGAAGATTTACGTCTGTAACCTCCCAGGGATGTGGATGGTGAGATCCCTTTGCCGGTCACCTTTCCGCTGTGACACCGTACTGCAGAAAAGCAAATTAAAGGAGGGAAGGTTCATCTGGGTGCCTGTCTTCAGTCTGGCCAGCTGGTTCTTTGTTTCTGGAGGTTTGTGGGGGAGAACTTCCCAGGGGGGACATAGTACGAGAAACCTGCTGACCTCAGGACAGCTGGCAGAGAAGAGAGAGTGAGGGCTGGGAGGTAGACAGCAAGGAGCCAGGGACAAGCTGCACCCTCAAATGCATCCTGCCGTTACCCGCTTGCTCAAGCTGGTCCTGCCTTTACCAGCTCACTCCTTCTCAGCCCAGGTGTGGAGGGTCTAATCCACACGGAGCGTTCTCCCAGCAGCACCGGGCTGGGAACCAAGCCTGCGCACTGAAAGCAACTAATTGTTTTTATTTCCTGTCAGGACTTTTTCCAGGATTGCATTAATATGATAAAATAACTAACTGTTGTTAATTTTACTTCACGACTTACAATGTACTAAAGACAATTTATTTTGAAAAGTAAATATTTGAATATTAATATATTCAAGATATCCTAGTATTTATAGCTGAGTAAATTCAGTCTTTTTAGATTCTCATTCATTGCATATTTATATTCAAAGAAGAAAATCCTTGTGTTTCTGACCGTTTGTAGCCTCTTTCGTCAGAAGAGAACTACCACAGCGGTTGTTTGAGCCAGTCAGATAGTCAGTGTGGTTCTCCTCCAAGGGGTTGGTCAGAAGAGCTGGATGAACGTGGGCATACCTTGTATACCAGTGACTATACTAAGGAGAAGGTACTTGTCTTTTTCTTCTTTTTCTCCTCTAGTGTGCCTTTACAGACTCCTCTTGAGAGAATGTGTCCTGAGGTGTAATAGTAACGAGTAAACTCCCAAGTGGCCTGAAGGAATGTAAATATAGTCCAGCACTCAGGAGGCAGGGACGGGCCGTTGAGTTTAGGTTAGTCTGGACTGATCAGCGAGCTTCCAAAACATCTCGTGGAAAGTAGTCCTCCTGGTGATTTTACAGTGGAGTGAGTGCATGGTAATACTATTGATTCATGGTTTTGTTTGTTGTGGCCGGGGTGGAAAATGCGGCTTCACACATGCCACACCAGCACTCTGCCTCCGAGCCACGCCCTGCTTCAAGTTTAAACAAGCTGCTGCATTGGTTTTGTGCTGCAGATGACCCTTCAGATGGACCTTTGGGGGCGGGCCTGCTGTCATTTGCCCATGCTTCTTTAATACAGATATTTCTCTGTGTGTCTCTTGGGGGAGGGGCAGGCTCTTTCGGTGATTTTTCTCAACCTGCTGTTATTACACTCTCACACCCTTACATCTCTTTCAATCAGAACCAGATCTGTGTAAAACAAAAACCATGAATCTAGTATTTTGTGATTAATTTATGAATGACTATCAAATTTTAATGCATTACCCATAAAGTCATTTTAAATGTTGGCTGGCTGATTTGCTAGCTGTAAGGGTAGTTTTAGGCAAATAGCCCTCTTCCCTGCTTCAGTTATTTAGCCCCAGAATGTATAGAACTCTTGGTTTTCACTTCTATAAGAATAAAGATTATACATTTATATCACAGTAGAATTTTCCCCGTTAGTCCCTGTTTTTTATCGTGTGCAGTTCTTCTGTTATTGTTACTTAAAATACATTGAGTACAATGCATTAGCTGAGGAAAATAATGTAAAATAATGAATGCAAATGAGGCTTAAATTGTGAAGCCTTATATCTGAAATTTGAAGAACAGTTTTTTAATGTTTCAAACCTGTTCTTGCTGTACCCTCCACTAGCAAGCAGGTGTGTCTCCATGTGTCTGTGTGTCACTCGTTTCTCACTCTGCTGTTAAGTGATACTTGAATTGCTCTCTGACATTTGAGGAAAGAGGGAACTGACTGGATGAAATTCCGGAGAAGCGTCTAGTAACCGTTAGCATGGGCGTCTAAGCGCGTTGTTTCAGGTGAATAACCCTGGGTGTTTTGCAGTGGCTCAAGCACGTGGATGACCAGGGCAGGCAGTACTACTACAGCGCAGACGGCTCCCGGTCAGAGTGGGAGCTGCCCAAGGTAAGGAGCTGCCGAGCTCGTGTGCCCAGTGCCCGGAGAGTCGCACTCGACTTGTTGGTTTGCTTGTTTTAGAGACAGTCTCGCTCTGTAGCTCACTCTGGTCTCAAGTGTCCTGTGTAGACCAAGGTAGCTCTCAGCTTACCTCACAGATTCATTCTTAGCTTGTTTTATTCTGTAAAAAGCAGAAGGCTGCTCCTTTCTGAGTTCTTTTGCAAACCTGTGATTCCCTAACATTGTCAGAGATGCGTGTTCACCACTTCTTCATCCTGGTTACTCTTACTCAGGATGTCTTTTGATAGCTTGAACCTGGTCTCTGATTATCCCGGGATGTAAGAGTTCTGCCTGGTGCCAGTAGTGCCAGCCCTGTCTGGTTATCTGAGGTTCTGAGAGGAGACAGGATAGTAATGGTATTCAAGATCATTAGTGAAGGTGCATTTCAGTGAATCAGTCACACACACACACGCACACACACGCACACACGTGACATTACCAGGTGTTGATAAACTGTGCGGTACAGAGTGTCACATCTTGCTGCAGTCTTGTAAGTTTGTATCAATATTTCAGGCGTGTAGCACAAAGGCAGGAACCACGTGCAGTGCATTATAACAGTGACTTGTCTGCATGTACGTCACATAGTGAGCACTGCCGTGGTGGCCAGAAGAGGGCGCTGGGTGCCCTGTACTTACAGCAATGGCAAGTCCTTCCACATGGGTACTGCAGACTAAACCTGGGTTCTCTGTAAACACCCTTAACCCCTGAGCCATCTTTCTAGCTCCTTGAGAAAGATTTAAAAAATAGGAGCATGTAAAGTTAAAAAAAAGCAATTTAAAGAATGATGATTACATTATATAAAAGATTAAAACTTAGAGCCAATATTTTGATACTAAATTTTAAAGTTTAAACAAGCAATATGTTGATACTAAAGTTTTATCATGAGATACATGTGATGAACATGGGGCTTCGTCTTAGAGCATCGCACAGAAGGGAGGAGAGGCACAGCTGGACATCAAATTCAGGTGTCAGTATATCCTTGATTCTGTGTTACATTAGAAACACCTGAAGCAGACATCATACGTTAGAATGGGAAAATGGGAAAGCTTAGTGCTAGGTTCTTATTATAATCTATCTATATGTAGTTTTAATCCTGATATTTGAAAGTTTCTATAGGGATTAGAAACATGTTGACGTTTGGTTGTCTTTTTTACACTCAGGGCGTTTAAGCTGTGGTTTTCTCTTCTTCTTTTTTTCTGTGTGTACACTTGGCCATTGGTATCTAACGTTTTGTTGTGCTGTCTTTGCTCCTGAGACTATTCTGTGCAGAGTAAATTGTGAGCACATTTAAAATTACGATTATTACTCGTACATCATTTTTCTTACCACATGGAGAGGCTTTTGACACTGTAGTAATTACAAGCTCAAAAGCTAGGTAAGATCTGTGACGTTTCATGTGCAGGCTTCCACACCACACAGCGTTTGCTCTGTGACTGTATTCAGAGAGGCCCCTGTGCAGCAGGTGGGCTCTGTACGTTTGAAATGTCTGGCCCAGGGTTTGGTGGGCTTTAAACGTCATCACTATTGGGTCTAGAAATGATAATCTGAAGACTTGTCAGAAAACACTGAGTTGAAAACAAATACCCATATGCGTTGACTGTCACTGCCCAATTTGAGTGTGAAGAAATGGGAAGCAGCTTTCTTAGGTGGCTTTTCAGCATTACACTTGGAGAGTCAAAAAATAAGATACCATGCACAGAAAGCATACTCTAACTACAGTTATTGAAGTTACAACCAAAGTCATTGAAAGCTGAGGTTTGCTGGGCTAGGTTTAGGGCTGAGGGGAGTTGTATCCTTCAGTTTCAGAAAAAGAAGGCATCTGTGAAAAGTTGATTTTTATTGTTATTTTATTACAGCTTAAAGCATTTAAATGCCTACATATGATAGCACACCCTCAAAGCTTTATAGTCCTCCATCTTTCTGTATGATATACTTAACATTCCAGACTCCTCCATGGTTAAATATTGCACTGATAACACATTAATTTCATACGCAACTTCCTTTTGGCAACGAATGCCTGACCTGTTTTCTGCAGAGTTGGTATGTTCAGAAGCACTGTTCAGAACTCGTATTTAGAAAACCAGCAGTGTGTCTAGCCTTAAGTGAAACAAAGACAGACCCTTAAACCATTAAGGGTAAAAACTGTACATGTAAACCGTTTCTCAACCTTATGTTAATATTAGCATAGGTATGTTAACATATGTTAACGTATGTTAGTATTAACATAGATCCTTGTACCTCAGTTACTCAGAGCAGCTCCAGGTGAGGGAACAGCTCTGTCCTGTCTTTTTCGAAGCTGAGGAACCATTTGGGGGAGTGAAATTCCAGAAGATGACACTAGCCAGGCATACGCAGCTCTACCACCTGGGGTCTCTGTCGCGTCCCCAGGCTGCTCAGCAGGAAGGCGAGGCTGCACAGTCCTTGGTGTGCTCTCACTTGAAGATTGTTTAGTGGTCATATGTCATAGGAGCTGTTGCAGTCTCACGCTTGTGTTGTTTGCTTATGAAGTGTGTTTTGTTTTCTCTAGTACAATGCTTCGTTCCAGCAGCAAAGGGAAATCTTTAAAAGTCGGAGCTTGGACAGGCGGCTGCAAGAGCCGATTGTGCTAACCAAGTGGAGACACAGCACCATTGTGTTGGACACCAACGACAAGGTGAGAGCCTGGAGAAAATATGTTGAAGCTTGGCGAGTGGAATTCCATTGTTCACACTGGGTCCCAACCATTTGCACTAATATTTATGTAAAATATTGCTGTTGTTAAATTCAATTCTTGGCTAAAACATTGACTTCTTTTGAACAAGTAAAAATTGTTATTTTGTTTATTTTTTTACTATTTTATCCATATGACTATGTGGATAAAATTTGTTACGTCACCCCTTACTAGCCTCTTGTACCACTGAACCCCGTCTTAGTAGCTCTCCCTACTTTCACCTTTTTGCTCTGACAGCGGACTACATTCGATTAGGGTTTCCCGAGTGACCCTGGGCTTTTTTACTTGGGCAAGGGCCACTTATCAGTGGCTACACCACTGAGGAGCCCCATCCCTTAATGGCCCACGGCCCCTCAGGAGGATGAGACCTCATGAGTTCCTGTGAGTGTTGGGATATGGAGATGCCTAGTCCTAACAAGGCCTCTGCTGCATTGAGTTTGTGGGTGCAGCGGCTACAGCACGTCCAGAAGAGCTGAGGAGCCTCCTTCCCACCCTAGCTCTTCTGTCCTCTTTTCCGTGATGTTCCCTGAGCATCGAGGGGTGATACAGAGAGCCGTCAAGAGTTATTCAGTGCTCTTATCTACAAATGAAAATACTTCCTTAGCCACATGGTGTGAGTTTGTATTCAGCATCAGCTGTTAGGCAGTCATTTTGGCTTTGGGTTTTCTCAAATTTTGTACAGTAGACCAGCTTTTTGTGACATACTGATGGCTGATGTATGTACTTGACACATTTGAGCTAGCGCATGTGTAACTATAATATATATATATATATATATATATAACTATAATATATAGTCTAGTTCTGTATTATAATATATAATAAGCATACATACACACACACTTAACACTACTTCAAGCCACTTTTGCTGTCTTTGATCTCCAGGAAGGTTCATATAGTAGATTTTATTTTCTCTGTCCCAGGAAAGGCTGTGATTCTTCTCACTTTGTTCTTTCCCACAACCTAAGACATGATGTTCTGTGTTTCTAATAGGGTATGGATTTTGACTCAGGTTTCAGAGGGATACTGTTTTAACAACTTCAGTTATACTACTAGAAAACTGTTTCCTTGCAGGGCATGTTGGGCATTTACAGTCCATTTGGAGAACATCAGTCATACCCATTAGAAGGTGAAGGGATGATGATACCCAAAATTAGACACATTGTCTTTGCAAAGTCTTCCAGGACTCTTCTTTTTCTGTAAAGTCATCATCACTATTTCCACATCTCCACCTTCCTTCCTTCCTTCCCTCTCTCCTTTTCCCTCTCTCCCTCCCTCCCTTTCCCTCTCTCCCTCCCATTCTTCCCTCTCTCCTTCCCATCTTCCTCCCTTCCTTCCTTTCCTCCTTCTCTTCCTTCCTCCCTCCTTCCCATCTTCCTCCCTTCCTTCCTTTCCTCCTTCTCTTCCTTCCTCCCTCCTTCCCATCTTCCTCCCTTCTTCCCTTTGTAGGATCTTCCTCTCTGGCTTAGGCTGACTTGGATCTTGGCTGCTGTCTTAGTAACTTCTCTGGCTGTGAACAGACACTAGGAAGGCAATCTTATAAAGGAAAGCATTTAATTTGGGGGCTCATGGTGAAGAGAGCTAGCATCTGCGATCATCAGGGTAGGGAGCATGAAGTACGCAGGCAGGTGCGGCACTGGAGCAGTCAGTAGCTCAGAGCTTGCAACTGACCCACTCGCACAGTGTGTGTGCGTGGAGGACACCTACCTGCAGTCACACCTCCTCCAGTAAGGCCACACCTCCTAATCTTCCCCAAAAGCTTTCGTCAGCTGGGGAGCACATTCAGATACATGGGGCCATGAGGGCAGTTCTCTTTCAAACCCCACTGACCTCCGACTGTAGCCCCCAGAGTGCTAGAGTATAGGTGCACACCACCATGCTTGGCTAAAGGGAGCTTCGTGGCCACTTCCCCATGTTTGGCTACTTTCGGTCTTGAATCCTTTTGTAAACAATTGATTTCATCCACTTTAAAGTAAGATGTTTTGTTAGTGCAATTGAGTGTAAATTAGTCTTCTTATATAGACAAGGTAGATGTTTAAAGAGTGTAGTATGCACACTTTCTATATTTACAGTACGGACCAACAGTAATGAAAATGGACCAGTCTCTAGTTTTTATTTTCAATAATATTTCACAACTAAATGTAGAAGTCTAGAAGACATATTAAAGGAATGGTGTTTTGGAATCTGTTATTGAAGATGTATTTGAAACTCTATTAGTATTGAGATTAGTCTAGGCAAGGGAGATTCCTAGAGTTGTTTAATAGAAAATACAGTCAGTTCTAGGGATTAGGGTGTATTTCTAGCTATTTAGAAGCCTCTTAATAGCCATACATCATACGGCAAGGCAAAAGCCATTGCTGAGCTGCTTCAGCCACCTCCTCCAATGAGAATGAAAATGAGTACTCTGGTTCCTTTTTTCAAATATCCCGCCGTGTTCAAGGGTGTGTGTGCATGCGTGCACACACAGTTCTGTGAGATTCCACTTTAGTCTGATCCTTGAAGTCACCCTTACGGGGTATTACTTCATGTCCGTTTTTATCTAATGATCCTCGGGCAGCAGTAATGTGACTGTGCTGAGAACAGACATATACTTGTTTTTAGCAGAAATCTCCCTCTCCAGTTTGCCCTTTGAAATAAATTCACAGCTAATTGCTTCATCGAGTAAATATTTCTATTTCTTTTTATCACCTAAATATGCCTTCTTAAACTAGGGCGGTCTTTGAGGCTAGGAGAAAGAGACTGCACTAGCAAAAGCTTATACATAATGAGCACATATAATTTAAACGGAGTAAAACCCAGTGCCATATGGCAAGTCTGGTTCCCCTGACATGAGTCCTCGTCCAGGGCAGATAACCCTGGAGGCAGTTGTGGGAGTGTCTCTGTTTATTAGGTCTGAGTGGATTTCCTTGTTCTGCTTCTGTATGGTTTTTACTAAAACTATTCGGGGATGTCTGTATGCACGTGTTCTTACAGAGATACATAAATGCATATTGCTTCTTTATGAACTTATAATTAAGTGTTCATTATTACTCTTCTTTTGGTTTTATGTGTGTAACACCTGTATTGCTTTTCTTCAGTTACTTTGTAATTTGTGGATCATCCAGTCTTTTACCTTTTCAGGCTGTTTTAATACACGTGGAGGTAATGACTGATGTCAGGAAGGTTACTTAGATGAGGCTAAGCTGAAACCTGGATAAGCTTAGTTTGTTTCTCTGGGGTTTGTGCTTAGGATTTTGATACTTTGTTCACTAGTGGTGTCAACTTTGGTTGTTTGGTTGTAAGAGTGTCCTTCCAAAGGTTTCCTTGGAGATCTTGGTTGTTGCATTCTTTCTGTGTGTATACATTCAGGGTGCAAACTGAAGATGTTTTTCCAAGAGAGTGAGTGTTGAGATCAGGGCTTTTCATGGTGACTAAAGCACTCTTAGGTTTGTTGTCAGCGTTTTATAGTGTCATAAGCACAGAGGGAATTAGCAAGGGGATTGGGGTGACGTTTCTTTGTCTCGTTTCTTCCTGTTATTTAACAAATCTAGGAGAATGAGGAAAATTGAAATAGAAGTAGGTGTTGGTACCAGAATTTTTTTTTTCATTGTTACCCTTCATAAAAAACAATATCTTTTAGTTTTGACCAAACTGAGTGTTATAGAACCCCTTGCTTCTTTGATTATGGTATTCTTATAAGCTTAAACATGAAAATATTCTCCCCTCACCCCGTACATCACTGATCTTTAAATGCTAGATTTCTTTGGTGTATATTTTTATCTTTATATCTAATTATTGGAGAGTAGCTGTACATTCCATTAATTCTGATAACAATTAAATTTATTTTGTCATATTGCTTTAGACTAAAATTCATTTTATCGGTTACCACTTAATTGTTGTGAACATTTCTAGCCTTGGCCCTGATAATCACATCTGCCATTAATACACGTTGTATGTTGACTGATGTATAAGTACTTGTAAATAGGGTTAATTAAAATGATATAGTACTATTTTAGTCAACACAGTTGCTGTACAAACATGCCATGGTTTGTGACCTTGTAATAGCATGAGTGGTGTTCAGATGAGCGCCATCCTGCTTGTAGAGTGTCTGAGATAGAAAGCAGCAAGGACATGTTCCCGTTGTTTGCCTTGGTAAGCTCTCCCACCGTGGATCAGGGAGAAACAGGTGTGTTTAAAATAGAGTAACGTTTTTCATTACTTATTTCTTGTAGGATTCTTCAACTACCACAAAACTCTGCTTACCTGAAAATGAATCTCCTACCTCATCAAAGCATCAAGATCCAGTTAGTATATTAGAAACATACAGAATAAATAGCCTAGTAATCGCTTCCAGTAAATTAAAATTTTTTAAATATAATGTTGAAGTGTTTCTCGTGCCACTATTAAATTTTATTGGCTTTTTTAGGAAAAAAAAATACAATTAAAACAGTTTTTAGAATCAAATTTTATTTGTTTCAAAGCCCCCTTTTTGCAAAAATATGATATTAATTTATATATTGTTTTCAAGTGACAAATTTATACCTGGTTTTTAAAATAAAAAAATTCTAAGCCAGGTGGGATGGCACATGTCTTTATTCCTGCCACTTTGGAGGCAGAGGCAAGTGGATTTCTGTGAGTTCAAGGCCAGCCTGGTCCATAGAGTGAGTTCCAGGACAGCCAAGGCTACACAGAGAAACCTTGTGTCAAAAAAAAAAAAAAAAAAAAAACCAAAAGGAAACAACCAAACTCTTCCAGAGAGTATTACAAATTATACTTCACTTTCTTTCCTAGGCCTGCAGTCTGAAGGTAAGACACATGCCCTTGCTTCCAGCAGCATGGCTGCCCTTGCGTCTGTGATGTGGAAGAGCGTGTCAGTCGGGGCCAGGCAGTGCACACTCAGCCTCCTTTCTCTCACAGGGAACCATGCTTTAACCCTGTTAGCACTCTCCTGCTCTTCCTCTCACTGATATGCTGTTGGCTTGTGCTGCTGTCCCCTTGGTGACACTGAACACCTTAAGGAGGACACAGGCAAGCACACAGGCTTCTGTGTCTTCCTGCTCTGACTGCACCCTGCTTGTTCTTTCCTGCCAGCAGCTGGGGCATGTCCACCAGGGTCAATTCAGAGTGTGCTCTCAGAGAAGGGAGGCCAGTTCTCCAGGCTGCGTTCCCTAGGCCTCCTTGCGATGCTCTTTGTAGCACAAATCCATGTATTTCACAAAATCAAGAGCAGCTACTAGTCCCTCTGTGACCCAGCTCTGTCCCTGTTGTGTCCAGCAAGGAAACACCATTAGCACAGATGGGAACACTACTGTTCCTACTGGACAGCTACGAGGTAGCTGCTTAGCAGGGGCTTGTTGAGTTAATGAATGTGACTTTACTACTTTAAAAGACAAACTTTCATCAACACTATTTGCTGAAATTAGGCCGAACTTATTTAATAGACCTCAGATTCTGTACAGGCACAGATCAGTTATTTCCAATCATTCCTGATCTTTGTGATCCTTTTTCCTAGTGAGTGTGTGCATGTGCACACATATACGCACGCACACACGAGTACATGTGCGGGTGGCAATACATGTCTGTCTGTCTATCTATCTATCTATCTATCTATCTATCTATCTATCTATCTATCTATCTATCTATGTATCTATCACAGTTTATTCACTTTGTATCCCCCCTATAGCTCCCTCCCTCCTCTCCTCCCAATCCCACTCTCCCTCCCTCATCTCCTCCCATGCCCTTCCCCAAGTCCACTAATAGGGGAGGTCCTCCTCCCCTTCCATCTGACCCTAGCCTATCAGGTCTCATTGTCTTCCTCTGTGGCCTGGTAAGGCTGCTCCCTCATCAGGGGGAGGTGATCAGAGAGCCAGCCACTGAGTTCATGTCAGAGACATTCCCTGTCCCATTACTAAATAACCCTCTTGGGCACTCGGCTGCCATGGGCTACATCTGAGCAGGGGTTCTAGTTTATCTCCATGAATGGTCCTTGTTTGGAGTATCAGTCTCAGAAAAGACCATGCAAATCAAAATGACCCTGAGATTCCACCTTACACCCATCAGAATGACTAAGATCAAAAACTCAAGTGACAGCACATGCTGGAAAGGATGTAGAGAAAGGGGAACCCTCCTCCATTGCTGGTGGGAATGTCAACTGGTACAACCACTTTGGAAATCAATCTGGTGCTTTCTCAGACAATTAGGAATAGTGCTACCTCAATATCCAGCTATACCACTCCTAAGCATATATCCAAAAGGTGTTCAAGTACACAACAAGGACATTTGCTCAACCATGTTCATAGCAACTTTATTTGTAATAGCCAGAACCTGGAAAAACCCAGATGTCCCTCAGTTGAGGAATGGATACAGAAATTGTAGTACATGTGTATTTCTTGTTAAATATTGTTTTCATTTGTAGATTTTATGGTTCCCATCACATTGTATATACTTCCTTTTTTTAATAAGCAGTAAGCAGAGCTTTTCTCTTTAAACTTAGTTAAATATAGTTAATATACAATTCACAGAACTATCTTTATAGACTATGTTTAATAAAGAGGGATTTCTAGGTAATCATAGAAATAAGATTTTGTAGATCTACATATTGCTTAAATGCATTGTTGGCTGATGGGTTCCCTGTTCATTTGACATCCATTAAACTGTCCTGGACGCAGGGTGCCCTCTGATGGTCACCACAGGCACTGCCGCACCGTCGGGCCTTCTGTTCCAGTCCTCTTCTAACACAGAACAGCTGTGTTGATTCTGCCAGGGCTTGTGTTTGCACACACAGGCTGCTGCTCTCCCCTCTGAGCACCTTTTCTGCTCCCTGGCCTCCTGCCGAGTCTCTTATCCCTTTGACCTCTCTTCCTGACCTGCTTTCCAGGCCCCGCCTCTGCTGCCTTGCTTCCAAGAGCCCCGTCTCTTCCACTCATACCTACTCCCCTCCCCCTCTGTATGCATTACATTTTTGGTGTAGATATTTAGTGGAAGTAAAGGTACAGATTTACAAGGTTTTCTAAAAATGTGACTTTGGAACAGATTCTTCTCTCTAGTAGCTTAAATTTGGCACTTTGCTTAGTATCCTCCTTTTCCCCTGTATGCCATCCCTGACCCTATGAGCTGTGTCTCTCTGGAATTTAGCCTCATGCTCACTGCCCTCAAGTTTAGACCTTTGGCATTTCTTCAGTGTATCAGTAGCTGCCATGCTACTGTCTCTTAGTGTCTCTCTTCCGCTTCTCTGCCTTGCCACGTGATTGGAGGAGGAGCCTGGGATGCTCTCTGTCTCTCTACTTCCTGTCTTCATCTGGTTGGCGTGAGCTCCTTAGGTCAGGGGTCAGCTTCTAGGACGCTGCCTGGATTCTGTCCTTCCTTTTCCAGGCTGAACTCAGGTCACCTGTGTAGCTTGAGGTGGGGTCCACTTCTCAGAGCATGTCGCATACTGTGTGATGATTGCTTTGGGGGTTCTCTGTACATTTGGATGTAGCAAGTTTGGAGAGCGCTTAATACTTAGAGCACAGTGTTTTCCTCTTATTCCCTGTGGGAAATTTGGGGAAAGCTCTTTTGAACAGTGTGTAAACAAATGCGGCCTTTTGTTTTGTTTTGTTTTTAATTAGTTTTATCCCTCTATTGACTCTGGCAAGAATCCCTGATTCAGGTTCTTTCTCATTACTGCGCTTACCCTGTCACTGCTGCTGCTCTATTCATTGTCACTTTTTATTTGATGCCTGGCTCCCTGTCCTGTTGCCTCTTCTGTGCTGTTCCAGCTGTCTTTAGAACGGTTGAGAGTCTCACTGCTCTGCATTCATGTTAGGTGGCCCATCCAGAGAGTTAATGTTGCTACTCTCGTTCTGTGAGAAATTTCTTGCGGTACCCGGTGAAAGGACAGTAAATTAAGAAGGCTCTTACAGAATGTCTTATACACACTTAAAGTTACAGTTATGTAATATCTTGTACATATTTAAAACTGTGTCATTGACATTTTGTTGAAAGGCATTAGGATTCTTACGAAAAGTGTCAAATTTGCATATCTGAGATCAGACAGTGATGTTTTCTAAAACAATTGCAGTAAAGTTATGAATGAATTATTTCCAAGTCTTCAGTGTGGCAGCAGTAGGAGTTAGCAAGTTTCCAACTAGAGATGCAAAGTTTCAAACATTACATTGTAAACATTGTTAAGAAGATAGTTAATATTATGGTTATACGTCATGCAAAAAAGATTCATATTTCCCATTAAGGTACCTAGAGATAATTTAGTGAGGAACCTGTCAAATAGAAATAAATTTGGGGGCTGGAGAGATGGCCCAGTGGTTAGGAATGCTTGCTGGTCATGGCTGAGGATCTGAGTTTGGTTCCTGGCACTCATCAGGCAGCTCACTGCCTGTGATTCCAGTGCCAAAGGATCTCTGCTGGCTCCTGTGGGCACCTGCACTTGTGTGCACAAACCCAGAGGCATGCCCACATGCCCACATACAGACACATGCATACACATAGTTAAGAATGGAACAGTTTTTTTTTTTAATAAGAAATATATTCTGAACTTATTTTCTTTGTGTTTGAATATGTGTTTCAGTTGAGTTATAACTGGCTGCTGTCTCATGCGTGTATTGTTTGTAGTGTTGATAATTATAATAGCTACCAACTCATTTTGATTAATCTCATTTGTATAGGAAACTAATACAGGGAGAAACTATTACTTCATTTTTACTTGCAAGAGTTTTAAGATGACATCAGCTAGCTTTTGCTTTCATGGTGGTTAATGATAGTTTTTGTCACTTTTACATTTTTAACATAACATAGTGAATCTAGTGTTTTCAGGGCCCAGAGCACCCCATGGTAGTATGTTTAGTGAAGCACATACCCACGTTTCTTTATATGACATTAAAGTCTGTGCAGTGCACTAGGGGCCTTTTGAGTACTTTCTTAGTGGCTTCATTAGTTCTGCCTAGTCGTTATTAAGTTCTGACACAATTAAGGTTTTTTTCAAATGTTAATTTTTGTGCTATTTATCACAGCACATCCTATCACATTCTTTGAACAGGCTCACTAGTGTGCCTGGGGTCTATCTATGTCCTTCACCCTAGTGTGTGTGTGGGGGTTCCAGGCACTTGCAGCCCCACCTGGCTTTTTTACATGGGTGGTGGGGATTTGAACTTGGGCCTTCACATTTGCAATTCAAATGTCAAACGTTTTTCTGGTGACTACTGGTGAAACTCTTAATTGCTAACACAGTATCTACTGACTGCTGGGACTTAAGGGGAAAAAGATGTTTTGCCAGTGTGGTTGGGCATGTCTGTGATCCTCTACTGTCTGTGAATGGTAGAGGAGGGAGTTCAAGGGTAGGCTTGGGTGTTTAGCAAGTTCCAGGCCAGCCTGGGCGATGGCCCTTTCTCAAAATTAAATTAAATTAAATTAAAAAGTCCTTAATTACAAATTACTGACAATACATTACAAAAACGTCAGTATTATTACCATGCTGTAATAGTAGGCTGTTGTATTCTAACTGATCTTTTCAGTTTTTAGATTGCAAAGTCATCTGGATTCCATTGATTATTGCAATTTGGACATTATTATCTATATGAATGCTATATAAAAAGTGTCATTTTGTTTCATAGGGTCAGGAGAAATATGGATTGCTAAATGTAACAAAAATTACTGAAAATGGAAAAAAGGTTCGGTAAGTATGAAATCTTTAATATTCTTACATATTTAGCTGACTGGGGAGATGAGAACTTACATTCCAGTAGAACTGATAGAACAGCTTAGAGCTGTTTTCAATCATGTATCTTCTAGTGAGCTTACTGTGAAGTGTTTCCTTTAACACGTTTAAAAATAGTATTCAGAAATAAGAAGAGGGACCTGAAGAAACATTGCTTTTTTTGGTATTCTTTGTTCAGCAAGCAGTTGGTGGGGCTTGTAATGAAAAGCAAAGATGACTGGTGACTGTAGCGAAGCCTCCACAGCGTCTGTCCTCCCTCAGGGCCATGGGCATGCGCGCTTTCCTCCAGACGGGTTTTACATGTGCATGCGTGCCTTCCTCCAGGCGGGGTCTACACGTGGGCGTTTGTGTAGACATTGACAACTCTCTTACAGAGACGGGGTTTCTCTGTGCAGCCCTGGCTGTCCTGGACTCACTCACAGCCATCCACCTGCCTCTGCCTCCTGGGATTAAAGGCATGTGCCACCACGCCTGGCTCTAGTGACATTATTGATCATGGTCTGTTGTACATCTGGCTTGGAGATGGTTCGACGTCATTACCTCAGGGCTGGCACAGCATGTGCCACTGCGGTCTAGTCAGTCATTAGCACGTTAGTCACTCTCTGTAGAATGTACCTGAACCTGCTGCCAGCAGGCGTTTGGGGTGCACACAGTGTGTGCTATTGCATGTAATAGTGCACTTGACGTTCTGCTTAGTTAATTTTGCAGATGTATAAATGAATGGTTCAGTGGGTAGACGTGCTTGCTTTGCACACGGGAAGGCCTGAGTTCAAATCCCCACCACCCATGTGAAAAAGCCAGGTGGGACTGCACATGCCTGGACCCCCAGCATTGGGGAATAAGTAGGCAGATCCCAGGGGCTCACTAGTCGGCTAGCCAGAATGAGTTCCTGTGGAGTGAGAAACCCTGTGTTAAGGCAGGAAGGCAGAGGGTGCTGGGAGAGGTCACCTGGCCTCCTGCTGTGACCTCTGATGTGCACGTGTGGTCATGGGCACACTGGCATGCAAGCACCACACACACACACACACACACACACACACACACACACACACACACACACACACATGCCTTGTAGTCATAATTTAACTTCTATCTTAAAAGTTCTGTATGCACTCTGAAGCGGAGAGGCTACCGTGGTGATCTGCCCATTGCTGGCCTGCAGAAACAGGCACTTTTTACAGCTTTTTTTCCTCTATTCCCATCAGCATTTTTCTGGGATGTTTTGCAGAAACACAGATACCAAAGTCTTTGTTTTCCTTTGAAAGTTTTATATTCTTCTAAAAATTTTATTCACTTTATATCTCAGTCATAGCCTTCTCCCTCTTCTCTTCTCCTCTTGGTCCCCTCTCTTCCCCTACTCCCCTTCCCTACTCCTCAAAGAAGGGGAGCCCCCCTCGCACCAACCCACCCCAACACATCAAGTCATCAGGATGGAGCACATCCTCTTTCACCAAGGCTGGGTGAGGCAGCCGCACCAAAGGGAAGGGATCGAAAAGCAGGCAACAGAGTCCATGTCAGAGTCAGCCCCCGCTCCCCTCACTAGGGACCACATGAAGACCAAGCTGCCTGTTGGCTACATCTTTGTAGAGACCTAGGTCCAGTCCATGCATGGTCCTTGGTTGGTGCTTCAGTCTCCACAGGCCCCCTGAGCCCTGGTTAGTTGACTCTGTTGGTCTTCTTCTGGAGCTTCTGGGTCCTTCTGTCCTTCCCCCACTCTTCCCCAAGACTTCTTGAACTCTGCCTAATGTTTGGCTGTGGGTCTCTGCGTCTGTTCCCATCAGCTGCCGGGTGGAGCCTCTCAGAGGCCAGCTATGCTAGGCTCCTGTCTGCAAGCACAGCAGAGCACCATTAATAGTGTCAGGGGCTGGCTCTTTCCTGTGGGGTGGGTCTCTGGTTGGGCCAGGCACTGGTTGGATATAACTTCAATCTCTCCTCTAATTATCCCTGCACATCTTGTAGGCAGGGTAGATCTGGGTCGAGGTGTTTGAGGGCAGTTTGGTGTTCCCCTCCTCCACTAGGAGTCCCGTCTGGCTAGAAGGTGGCCTCTTCAGTCTTTATCTGGAGTCACTCCCATATCCTCCCTGTGGAAGGTGTCCAGCTTGCCCCGGGTTTCTGCCCCTGCCCTCGGTTCCTCTTCTCTCTCTGAGCCCTCTGACCTTCTGACCACAACTGGTCCCCACCTTGTTTCCCTCCACACCCCCTTACCTGCACTGTTCCCTCTCTTCACCCACTTCTGCTCTCTAGTGTGTTTCCCTTCTGAGTGAGAGTCAAGCACCCTCCCTTGGGCCCTCCTTGTTACTTAGCTTCTTAGGGTCTCACACAACTGTTTTTTTTTTTTTTTAACTTTTCTTTTTTTATTTATTAATTTTATGTGCATTAGTGTGAAGGTGTCAGATCCCTTTGAATTCAGGGTACAGACAGTTGTAAGCTGCCATGTGGGTGCTGGGAATTGAACCTGGGTCCTTTGGAAGAGCAGACAGTGCTCTTAACCACTGAGCCATCTCTCCAGCCCCCACAATTGTTTTTTTTTAAAGAAAGGAAAATAATTCTTCCTTTTACATACAGAGTTGGAAAGGGGAAAAGCATCTTTTGGAGTAGAGAGGGCGTTATGAAATAGGTTCACAAGAAAATGAAAGTCATCCTGAAACAGCATAGAAGACGTCCACACAATGAAATAGAAAATAAATTTTAATAAAGAGCGTTAGACTGTAACTATGTCTAACATGCAGATTGACTGTTTGGATTTTCTGAAGCAGAGCACTGTGCTTAAAAACAGCCTCAGGTGATTTATGTGAGCTCTGAGCAGGGATGTTAAACTTTAAAAAGAAAGCAGGAGCTTAGCAAAGGGGAAATGAATTTGAAAGAATTATTAAAACGTGGATACTCTGAAATGGCAGAGCAGGGAGCAGAGAGACGGCTCAGTGGGAATGAGTGTTTCTCGCACAGCAACAGGGACCCCAGTTTGAATCCCAGCATCCTTGTCAGAAGCCAAGCGTGGTCTCACCCTGTACAATAGGGGCAGAGACAGGAGGGCTGCTAGGGTTTGCTGGCTGCCAGCCTCGGCCCAGACAAGAGCTTTGGCTTTAGGCAGAGCCCTTGCCCTGAAAGCGTAAAGAGGAGAGTGACAGGGGAGAACACGCATGTGCATGCATACACTCACACCCAGGCACACGTGCTGTACTCACTCTCTCTCTCTCTCTCTCTCTCTCACACACACACACACACACACGTACGTGTGCATAAAATAACACCAGGTGAATCGGTTCATGGGGAAAACTGCTCGGTGGCAGACCCATGGCTGGCTAAGGATGTGGAAGCTCAGTTGCTGCCATGCGTATTACACAGACACAGGCCGCAGCTGTGCCTCCAGCACTGCAGGTGGACAAGGTCAGAAAGGTCAAGGTTGTCCTTGGCTACATGTTGTTTCCGTCCAGCCACAAGGCACTAAGACCTGGACGGAATTACACTTTATTGGGCAAAACACAACAGACAGAAACAGTGTGCATGAACTATGGGCAGTCAATGGAGAGGTGAACATTGTGAACAAGGCAGCGGAGCTCAGTGCTCGCAGGGCTCCCACAGCTGGCCGTGTGCTGGACGGAAGCCAGGCCGAAGCTGCGGAGCACGTCGAGTTAATGTTCTTTTCACCCTCCCACCGACTGAACTCCTTATAAGATGTTATTTTTTTATTAGCAAATATTAATTTGTGTTTGCTACTTGAAAAGAAATTTCTAGGCCTGAAGTAGATACAAAAATAAAATTTCAAATAATGTAAAGCTCACTCCAATGGGAGAAACATTTGAGAAAATTAAAATCCTCAGTGGAAACCGTAAGAAGCAGGGAAGTTGGGCTGACTGCCAGACTCTGCTGGCAGTCCCCGTTAAAGCTGTTAGGACCACCAGAAGTGTTTCACGTTACTGTGGACCTTGCCTGTGTGTCTGGAGACAGGGCAGTCAGTCCGTGGGCAGTATTTTATGTGTATGAGCATTTAGTCTGCATGTATGTATGTGCACTGTGTGTGGGCTGTGTCTAAGGATGTTGGAAGAGGACTCTGGGTTCTCTGGAACTGGGCTTGTGGCTGGTTGTGAAATGCCAGGGGCTGCTAGGAACTGAACCTAGGCCTCTGCAAGAGTAAAACATGCTTTTAGCCTTAGACCACCACCAGCTTCCGGTGGACAGTGTTTGAAAGAACCACATGGAGGGCTAGCGAGATGGCTCAGCAGGAGAAATTTCCTGCTACCCAAGCCTACAAACTCCAGTTGGACCCCAGCCCCGCATAAAGGGGGGAGCAGAGAGGTGACTTTAGAGCCGTCCTCTGACCAGACATGCACAAGCAGGAGTGACTCAAAACAGTCTTCGAAAAAGACCCACATGACGGAACACCCACTTTTGCTTGTCTCTGGAACATGAACTGGGAGAGAAGTGGGAGTGTTTTGACAGTGCGCACATGGCAGCTGGAGAATGTGGGGGTTTTCTCTTCACAGTACGTGGGTCCAGGAGATTGAACCCAGTCACTGAGCTTCGAAACAGGTGCCTTCACCTGATGAGCCACCTCCCAACCCATCCTTTACACATTCTTATAGTCTGAGCATGTATGTGCTGCCTTTGTAACTTAGTAATCTTTAAAATCTCATCTTAGTGAGCAGTCTGTAATTTAATACATCCTCTTAACATTATCTAGTACGTACTGCCTGTTTCTTCAATATGTTCCTTTGTAGGACTGAAATAAATGAATGTTCTTAATCACAGTGTACTAGTGAAAACATTCGGGTCCTTTGGTCACAGTTATTTTAGTTGTTTACCTTTCTGACTAACCTCATTTGTTTTGTCTGATGCTGTCACATTGAGCACTAACGTGACTATGGATGCCGTTAGAATTCTATGTCTAGTATAAGTAGTTCAAGTAGTGATCATTAAATTGTGGCTAGCAGTGATGAGCACTAAGTGGCTGTTGGTTTCCAGTGTTTGATCAGTCTTGTTTTCATCTGTGTAATTGCAGAAAGAACTGGTTGTCTTCTTGGGCGGTGTTGCAGGGTTCATCTTTGCTTTTTACGAAAACTCAAGGAAGTAGTACAAGCTGGGTAAGTATCTCTCTGTGGACGTGTTATACAGTTAAATCGTGGGGCTGGAGAGATGGCTCAGTGGTTAAGAGCACCGTCTGCTCTTTCAAAGGACTGGGGTTTATTTCCCAGCACCCACATGGCAGCTCACAACTGTCTGTAATGCCGATTCCAAGGGATCTGACACCTCTCACTAATGCACATAAAATAAACTTAAATAAAATTTAAAAATCCTGTGAGTGGTATAATTTCTGAATGTCAGGGGTCTGAATCTCTGGAGTTCTTGACATCAAGCACTGTGTGTCTGTATTAGAAAAGATCTTTTCCTGAAGACGTGCTTGGACTTGCAGGAGGCTGTTGGAAAGGTCTGGCTGGCTGCATTAAACCAGCAGCTGGCATTATCCTGTGACCGGCAGCTAGCGGCCTCAGCACTTCGGGATGTTGGCTCCTTCTCAGGTTGTGAAAACTTCCCTGTTTTTAATGATCATTTCAGATAGTTAGGAAATAGGCAGTCATGTGCCTCCGCTGGCCTTTGCCTGTTGGACCCTTTGGCACCTGGAGCTGACTCAGGTGTGGCTGTACTGTGATGTCAGGCAGCTTTTAGGAGGAACACAGATGGGGCTTTTCTTTGTGGGCTGCTGACACTATTTATTGTGGTGTTTTCTGTTGTTGCTCAGTTGTTACAGTTATGGTTACAGTTGCTACAATGTTGCCGGGTTGTGACTTCCAGTTGCTAACATTTTGAATGCTGGCATGTTCTAAGTGCAAAGGATGATGTGCACCTTAGCCCTCTGCTCCGAGACAGCCGTTTCTCTTGTCCGTCTTTCCTGTCATAGATAGGACATGGCAGTATCAGACATTCAAGGAACTAAGACTTGCAGAGTGCATACTTCCGGTATTTCTAGAACTTTCGGTAACTATAATTCAAGTGTCAGTATTCAAATAAAATTGAAAGTGACATTATTATAAATGTCTGTTATCCTGCTGTAACCAGAATTTTCTTACAAAAACTGATTTTTTCAAATTAGCCTAGGACCTGTATCTTCTGTTTGAAGAGAGAAGCCCAGCTTCTCTGCAGCCAATTTTTGTCTCTGCATTTGAGAGCGTGCCGAGCGGTGCCTCGCGTGCCCGAGGGCCCGGCTCACGGCCGATCTGAGAACGGCTCTCAAAATCCAGATCAGCTGTGTGTGACTGTGAGCGCTCTGCAGCGTTTCTGGTTTTGGCTCCCTAACCGTGGAGTTCGCACTCTGTCCGGCGGTGTAGTGGAAGTGACTAGGAAATGACGCAGATGCACGGTCATGTCGAAGGTGGAAGTGCTGGCTTGACCCGTCTCCCTGAAGTAGACTGATAACTGTGCTTCCCTCCTTTTCCTGCTGCCATGAAGTGTGTGGGGCTCTTTGTGTGAACGCATTTCTGAAGAATTGTTTGTGTTTTCTTCATACTTGTGGCCCAGCGTTTGTTAGAAACTGACTGTGGAAGATGAGTGCACGGAAGAAAAATGGACAGGCAGTTAAGATAAGCAGTGAGCCAGTGCCCGACAGCTGCCGAGTGCCCGTTTGCTTAACTAGTGAGGCCTGGCCACTGACGGCTGCGGTGGACGCGCCCGAGAAAGTAGCCGGCCGCTGTGCTGAGGGAGCTCACTGAGACGTGTGTGTGTGCGCGCGTGCAAGCACGTGGGTGCCATGCTTGAACGTGCTAACGGAGGACAACTTTGTGGAATTAGATTCACGTTACCAGCTCACACCACAATCCACTGAGCCATCTCAGCAGCCTTGTGTATGACTCTTAAAAAATATGAACAGCTTTGGGATTTACAGGTATCAGGTAGACACACCAGCCCACAGTCATTAATGGGATAGTTGTATTTGTTTAAAGTTTTGCTGTTGAACACTTTACACAATTCAGAACTCGTTGTTAATATCTGTTAATACTGACAAGTGCAGACACATGGGCAGCCTTTTTAATCCCCTGGCTGCTGTGCTGTAGTGGAGAAACAGTGCTCAGAAGTCACTAGCTAGCCAATTTGGAAGTTGTAGGATCATTAACATTTTCATGTGGGAGATTTATTGTTTGAACTTTCATCTTAAATGAAGCTTTATTATTGTTGTGGTCCAGTTCACGTATTAAGAGAATAAAACTGGATTAAATGGGTCAATACAAACAGTTGCGTTTAAATAAGGAGTATAGGAGTGGGTATGAAATATTTTGCAAGTACATCATAAATACCAAGGATTGGCAGGATGGGTAAGACGCCCTTAGGATCGCTGTGCACAACTTGAAAGAATTCTGCTCGGTCGGCACCGGAGCGAGTGTGTAAAATGTGTTCCCTTGTGCCGTGGGGAGACCCTGCCTCGGTGAGGAGCTTCTCTGCCCGCAGCAGGCGCTGTGCTGAGGCTGTGCCTCCCAGCCACCTGTACCGCCTTGCTGTTGAGGCCCTGGTCACAGTTGAAGAGAAGTGTCGTTCTTTAGAAGTTATGTCCATACTAAAATTCCCAGCGATCACTGGAAGAGGTAGCAGCCTTCACACTCACACCCATACAGGCTCATGCTTACCCGCTCTCTTCACACTTCTTTCTAAACCATCATGTTCCTTATTACCTTTTCCCCTAAGAGCAGATACAATTGAATACACGAAATACATACATTCCACCTGCAATCGAGAAGCTGCACGCACACATGCAGATAACAGCACTCAGACATCAGTAGTTACTGAGACATTCTTGCAAACTTATTGTTGATTTCTGTGTAGGGGGAGTAGCGAGGCTGGGGGGAGGGACTGACTGTGAGCGAGCTCAGGCGTGCATGGAGGGCAGAGGACAGCTGGCAGAGCTTGCCCCTCCGGGTCAGCTCAGGGCACGGAGCTCTGGTCGCAGCCTGCTCAGCAAGCACCTGCGTTCACCAAGGCACTTCACTGGCCCGTGAAGCACTCGTTTCTACTGTTGAATTCCCCCAAATGGAGTTATCTTCAGGGCCGGTTTTTGTGTTGCGAGTGCCTGCTCTGTGAACTGAGGTTTTACAGGTGGCCGGCACCCCCGCTCACTTCCCTAGAACCAGGCACTGTCAGACGTCCCACAGAGGACAAGCTCCCTGCTGCCCTGGTGCGCTAGGGAAGGAGAAGAGAGGCGACATAGACACGCCCAGGAGCTGACGTGGCACTGTGTGGTCGTCCTCAGAGGCTGGTCGAGGCGGCAGTCCTCCTGTGAGCCCCCAGGTGCTCTGTGGTGTACAGCTAGGATGCGCTTATTCATGACAGACTTTGTAAACCATTCATCTTAAAAATAAACATGGACTTTTGTGATGACACAGTACTCTACACCAAACAGTTCAGCTACAATAGTGTGATGTTTGCTTGTGGAATTGTGTTCTTCTGCTACCTGCTTCCATTGTGCTCTTTCTTATGTGTGCCATCACACTGTTGTGTGTTGTTATGAAATCATTTCTTTCCTCACCCCATCAAGTCCTTTTGTCAACAGGGTTCAAGCTATGAGTTCTTGCTTATTGCGCTTTCTTCTTAGAAAAAAGCCTGTCCATCATCAGATGTAAAGTCTGACCTTGTCTCCCCTGTCACTGTGTCTAGTTGTGTCCCCTCACTCCTGGTTAGGGTTTTCGTTGTTGAGTTTTGATGCCATAACTACATTGACTGGTAGGGGTTTCCGTAAAGTGGTACTATGTTTTGAAAAAGAATGAGAAAAAAATGTTGCCAAACATATCAGTTCCGTTTTTCTCTCATTTTTCACACCACTGTTTAGCCTAACAGGTTGGTTGTATGTGATCTTAGCTCCTCCTGACCATCTACGGAACATGCTGGCCGCAGAGTAAATGACTGACCCTGTTTTACTAAGTGTATGTTCACGCCCTAGGAGATTTGGGGTGTCTCAGTTCTGCCCAGAATGTTACTGTTTCTGTGTAGGTTTATAGTTGATTGTTTGAGTTACAGTGGTAGAAAGGTTAAAAGTGAAAGTTACCCTTATTTTTGTTGTAGTGGTTGTGGTTTCAGTAGTAATTCCACTTGGCCCCTGTTTCTTGTTTTGGTACAAGAACATTATGTAAGTCTGTACCAGTCACTGAAAAATGCAGTAGCTGAAGTCTAGTCCTTCCTTCAGGGCGAAGCTGCTAAGTGGAACAGTGCTGTCACAGTGGAGAGTTATCCTGCAGTGTTGGCTCTGATGCCAAAGGCGAGTGCAAACTGACACAACGGTTTACCAAATGAAACTTCTTACATCAACCCGGAGATGTTTGTAATCTTTCTTACCTGTAGATCATAGTTCTTAGACGTTGTAAAATACTAAACCATTGCCGTCCCATAGGGACACTTTCTCTATTCTTACACAGCAGGGTGAGTGGAAATGTTAAGGTATTAGTGGCATGCCAACAGAATAAGTAAATATTAAAGCACATTTTCTTTCTTGTGTAGTTAACAAAACATAGTAAGTAGCTAAGTGTTTTTTCCTAACCACCCATGCCATATATTTTCCTGCTCTCTTCATGCTCTTGTTATGTTGCTAAAGGCGTTACAGCACCTGACTTACAATTTCTAGCAAACGCTGAGTTAAATGATCAGGCTCAGGGTTTCTGTTGAAAGGATGTTAGAAAATGCACATGGCATCTGCGTGTGATTTACACACACGTGGTGGTCAGGCATTGCCTTTAACACATAATCTTCTGTATGGCCACGTACAGTGTGGCATGAGTTCTGAGAAGTAGAACCGTGAGGCTGCAGATTATGTCCACCTGTTTGCAGATAATAGCATTACCTGATTTCCTTCTGTGGGAGTTACCGTGATCGGAGCTGTTGGAGCTGAGATTGGATTTAAGTGTACTTAGCCATTTTTGAATCTGAAAATAGAAGGATTTAAAATGATCTGTTCAGTAAATGTGGTTGGTCTTCGTTTTGAACACACATAGCTATGCATGTGTATTACTCAAAGCCTTCTCTCTTTTTCCTAAAATGAAGTTTGGAAGTAATCAGTCCAAACCAGAATTTACAGTGGACCTGAAGGGGGCAACGATTGAGATGGCATCAAAGGACAAATCCAGCAAGAAGAACGTGTTTGAGGTAAACAGCCTACATGCTTCCTTTAGCATGTACGTGTTTAGTCTTTCATTGTGACACATACAGGCAAAGTTTGTGACTAAGTCATTTGTGCCATAATGTTGTAAGGATGGTGTGTGTGTGTGTGCAGGCGTGCGTGAGGCCCACTGCAGCAAGCTGGAGGAAGTTCTGGGATGTCTTTAAGCAGGGCCTGTGTGACCTTACTCTTTATTGTCATGCCTTGTACCAACCCACCCTGATCTCAATGCCACAACAGTCATGCTACTTAAAAAAAAAAAAAAGCCTTTAAAATATGTACTTTACTATACTTTGCTTTAACATCACGTGTACACTGTTGTAAATTAGATGGATTTGTAGATGATTTCAGTGCTCCGATTTGTTTTGCTTTTAAGAAACTGCTCTGACTTTGATTGGGACCCTCTCCCTGTCTATAACCGCATGTGCTCAGTGCTGGGGGTGGCTTGACCACTGTCTACAAGGATGCAGGAAAGGATGCCATTAGTTCCCAAGTCAGCTTTGCAGTTCAGTAGCTGGTTCCTGGGTGAGGAAAGGAGCCATGGTCAAATACATTTTGGGGATAGTATGTATTTGATCCCTATTTTAGACAATTTCAATGTTTTCTAGATGGTCAAACTCCTGAGAAATCTCAAAGGAGAGCATCATGTTAGACTTTGGCCCAGTGTTATTCAGGTTAAAATGTCATAGTATCTTAAGTTTATTTTTTTTAAGAAATAGCTTTACTAAGTAATACTTGTGAATTGTGGATGAAGTGATTCTCAGAGCATTGTTTGGGAGAAAACTACCAAATGTTCCTCTGGAAAAACAAATTGAGTTATCAGCCAGGGAATGTGAGGGATATTTTCACAGTTTACATTAAAGTGTGAAAAACTTAGGCCAAAGAGATTAAGTTATTTTTGGATCTCATGGAAAATACTGGATATTCTTATTTCAGGTCATGATTGAACAGTTAGCTATACACATACACAATAAATAAATGAACTTAATTTTAGATACATGTATAAACATTTTAAAGGAACGTGACATTATCGTCGTTTGTGCTTTGTCTTTATAGTTAGTATCACTGTCTGTTAAGTTGGAAATACTGAAGACCTAACTTACTATATTTGTATTCATAACAAGATCAAGGAAATTCTTAGGCTGTGAAAAAGTTAAGGCGAATGCAATACTGCAGACTGTTCTTTCTTTATAAATGTTTCAGTTTTAGTTGTAACTGTGTTGCTTTTAGACGAGTTTATTTTTAAATTATAAACTATACTACTTTGGAGTCCTGAGTTACTAGGTTTTTATTGAGAATTTACTACAAAACCCAACTTTATGTTGTGTGCAATCACTGGCCTGGTACTGGCACTGGTGTCAGGCATTCCCTGGTGCCCTAGCACCTCTGCTGCTCTCAGTGTGAGACCTGGGGCAGTGCAGACTGCAGGCTGGGACGCACGTTTTCATGCACTGTGGAAAAAGCACTGACTGTTCGTTTTCTTTTCTCTACAGCTGAGAACTCGCCAGGGCACAGAACTGCTAATTCAGTCTGATAATGATGCTGTTATTAATGATTGGTTTAAAGTTCTCAGTGGTACTATCGATAACCAGGTATGTATTCGGCTTGAGTAAAATTTTTGTTGCATAACCAGGTGTGGTGGCGCACACACCTTTGATTCTCACACTTCGGGGGTGGAGGCAGGCGGATCTCTGTGCATTTGAGGCTAGCCTGGTCTACACAGTGAGCTCCAAGACAGCCAGAGCTACGTTGTGAGACCCTGTCTCATTTCTTTTTTAATTGGAGAGCTGTTTTTCTGGTTTTCTAACTGTTATATGCAGATTTCAGACTATAGATGTAAAGACTGAATTCGTGCATGTGTGTGCTAACCAAGGTAGACAAGGGAAAGATCATGTTATCATTCTGTGTCTAGTGACTAAACGTCCTGACAAAGCGTTTGTGTCAATGACTTTGCCGCAGTGTTTACATTGCACTTTGGTTCATGCAGAAGGAATGAACAGTGCTTAGTGCATAGTACTACACAGTGGGTGCCTGGATGTGGCGGGAGGAGTGCTGTCTGATGGGAAGGGGCCAGAGGTCAAGCTTTGATGTATGCAGCTGCAGCCCCATCAGTGTGTGCTTTTCTGCCTCTTCTCTCCTGAAGGCGTTCATTGTTGCCTTAGCGGCCACTGAGAGCTGTGTATTCTCTGCATCCTTAACCTCTTACTCACACCGGGGCCTTCTAGCTGAGAAAAAGGAAAGCTAACACTTGTTCTAAAAACAGATCAGGAAACCTTCAATAGTGTAATATTGTATAATAGTTTTACTTTTCTCCCTCTGTCTCTGAAACCGTGATCAATTTTATTTTCATTCGGAAATGCGAGTAATCTTCTAAACTGGTTTCCTAATGTAACATCGTGATCTGTCTGTCCATCTGTGGGTTTGTTTGCTTCTTTGGATGTGTGGGTCAGCCTTGGCCTTGCGCTTGCCAGGTGAGCACTCTTTGTTGAGCTCGTCGCTAAGATGTGATTGGTTTTGGTAGCTGGTAGTTCATTCTTAGAACCGCCTGTGACCTTCATTGAAGTCCAGCAACTTGGGCCTGTCAGCGTCTGTTCAGGCTGTTCCCTGGCCGTACAGGCTTCGTCGGTAGTCACAGTCTGAGCAGCGTGCATTTTCCGAGTCCATGAGTGCGTGTGCACTGGGCAGCTCGCAGTACTGTGCCACAGCTTCTTGCAGGTTATAGTCAGAGGCAGAGTAGCCAGCCCCGGGAGTCTGCGCGCGCAGTAGGTCGGAAGGGAGTGCCGTGCTGAGGAAGGGTGGTAACCTGCAGAGCATGAAGACGGGCTAGCCTGGGGAAGGCGTGCTGCATGTGTGTGTTCTGTAGTTGAGGTCTCCAGAAGCAGGGAATGAGGCTAGTGAAGAAAGAGGAGCAAGTTGTTTTCCGTGAGATGTGACGGCACCTACTGTTTCCATAGTGTCAAACAAGGAAGAGCCGAGGCAGCCTCTTCCTGACAGCCCAGCACCCGGAGTAAGGCGGGGGACTGCAGCAAGTGAGCACCTGCCGAGGAGAGAGCTGGCTTAAACAACCACAGGTGTTTCTGAGAGACTGAGTCTAAAGTCTCACTAAGATTCCAAGTAGCTTTCTGGTTGAATTTGAGAACCTTATTCTAAAATTCGTTTAGAGATAAAAGGAGCTAAAAACACCCAAGACTTTCTTCACCGACTGTGTCACACACTAGGACTTTATGAACCTGTGTGAAGCAGGACACTTCATATCTGTGGGGCACACACGTCTGTGCACACTTGACGCCGGGTGCAGAGCTGGAAGAAAGCACTTTCCAGTAAACGGTGCTGGGTGTCCAAGAGGCTTTCCTTAGACCAGAAACAGGGTCAGTTCGGTGGCGCAGGCCTCAGGGAGAAGGGCCACGGTCCTGAGCGTTGGGAGTTAACTCAGTCCACCTTTCATCCTGTGCAAGGTGCCTTGGCGAGGCGGTGGACTTGTGGGCACTTTGCAGCACCTGACCCCAGTGTCACCCTGGTGCTTTCGCCGTGCGACAGTGTGCTCTTAAACTGTGTCACAGCTAACATGGCTTCAGGTCCAGGAGAAGAAGTCTGACCCTCTGCCGCTCTATCCTTACCTCCCGACTTCCTGCCACCCACACACACTGTCAGATGAGGCAGTGATCCCTAACCCCGTGAGCTAGCGCCTGTATTTCTCTTTTAGCCGTGAAGGCTCGTGTCGTTAAGGGTGGAAACATACTTTAAAGAGTGCCAAATTCCTAGACCATACTACTGTATACACTGTTCCCTAAAATCCCCGTACCAGTCGTTCTGAGGGCGTTCATTGTGCGAGTTCTGTTGGGCAGCTGCAGCTCCGCTAGCTGCAGCTAGTAACGTGTTTGCGAACCTCACCAGCAGGCTGCAGAGGCCGACGAAGCAGCTGAAGAGGATGCGCCCGAGTTCACTGGCCTAGAGAAGCAGGACAAAGAGAAGGACCAGAAGGAGCTTAAGAAGCTACGCTGTGAGTCTCTCCTCATTGCTGACGCTGAGAACTCTCAGTGTCTCCTGGGCTTAATGCCTGTGTGAAGGAGCACTCTCCAGAATTAGAAAAGTAACAAGGCCAATCAAGTACTGTCTTTTCAGCTCACTGCCCTCTTTAACCACTGCATGCACCCTTATGACGTAATAGCAAGGTGCGACACTCCAGGAGAAAGTACGGTGTGCTTCTCTGAGGCCTCTGGGAAGCGGAACTGTGCTGAGTTAAAGTATAGCTTCATATAGAATCCTAGACTTTTGGAAGTCCAGAGTGCAGGGATCATCATCCCTCAGCCCCACCGCTGCCCAGGCGCCAGGCGGCTCACCGTCCCGTTCTCATGCACAGCCCTGAGTGGGTACCTCCCCAGCACACAGCCGGGGAGCTGAGCCGCCAGTCTCAAAGCTGGCCCTGGGGAAGGACATCGTTGGTGCTGGCCATTAGCTGTGACTCCACACCTTTCCCCTTAACCAAGCCACGTGCTTAGCTAGTTGAGTGGCTAGAGTCAGCTTTTTTTTCCAGCAGTATAATGAAGATCTTACACACACCACCACCACCGCCACCACCAATTGTTGCCACAGAGTGTTGTGACTTGAGGTGGGGTTCTGTGTGGTCCAGGCTGTCTTCAAGCTCCCCCTGAAGCCCGGGCTTTGAGCTCTTGATCGCCCTGCCTCTGATTATCACGTGGTAGGCTTACAGATGCACACCACCAAGGCTGGCCGAAACTCTCAGTTCTTGACTGCTGTATTCTGTGCTCATAATGCTCCCAAACACAGTTATTTTTAACAAGTGTAGTTGAGAGTTCCCTGTTACGGTAGGTAGCTCATAAGTCAGGATGGAAGGGAACATGAACAGCTTCTGCATGCTCCGTTTTTATGGCAGTGCACAGAATCTCGATAGTGTCGACGCAGACTCTCAGACCCTTCTGCCGTTCACCGGGAAGGAAGTTTGAGTTGTGTTCTGTGGTCGTTTTACCTCCCGACACTGATGGCAAGTAAAATCGCTTGTTGAGATCTTGACTTGTTCCAGGAGAAGTGCAGGCACAGTACACTTTTAGTTACGGAAATAAACATTTTGCTTAAATTTAGAGTAGCCATTGTTGCTGTCTGTTTTTTTTTTTTGTTTTGTTTTGTTTTGTTTTTTGAGCATAGGGTTGATGTTTTGAGTCATCTGTGGAAAATCTTTTATTAGAAAAGTTTCCTGAAATACCTAATATCTGTTTGTATTAAGCAATGAAAGGATCCAGCATGGATTCTTCGGAGCAGAAGAAAACTAAGAAAAACTTAAAGAAGTTTCTTACCCGACGCCCTACTTTGCAAGCTGTTCGTGAGAAAGGTTATATCAAAGGTACGTAGAAGCGGCCTTGACGATAATGAGCGTCTGCCGAATCAGAAAAAAAGGTGTTTGAAATTAAAACTGAACGTTTCAGCATTTTCATTTTTTTTATTCAGTTAAGTTTAGCTACGAGATGAAAAGTGTTTGAGTAATTGGCACGTGTGAGAAGTGCACATATAAAGTGTAGCTGACACCCAGAGCCGGGCATAATCCCGAGACATCTGAAGTCCGTGTCAGAGGACAGATGAGGTGCCAGGTCAGGGCAGTGAGGCTCGGTTCTGCATCGCAAGGTCGTGACAGACAACCACTAAGAGCATGAGAGAAAGCAAGGACAGACAGCTCTGTCCCTCCTGGTTTGCCTTTAGCGCTACTTTAGGGTAATTTTACAATTAGTAAAAAAATGTTGTGTCTTAATTCATTTACGATCACCATCCTGCACCAACAGATGGAAAAGTGCTCCTTAAAAGCACGTGTCTTCGTATACCTATACCTGCTTATACTTGTGTTTGACTCTGAAGATTAAAATTTTTAATATGTGACCCAAGCCAGCGGGATTTATTCAGAACTCACGGTGAGGGGAATACACAATGTGCGTATGAGAATGAGATCTGTAGCAAATCATCACTAGACTACTTGCAAACCATCTTCTCAGTTGAAAAAGAAAGCTGGATCCTATGAAGGACGTATATAAGCCTTCTGGACTGTGGAAGGATTGGCTGGTTCACGTTAGCAGCTATACACAGGTGCACAGCCTGTATCTCTGTGCTTGGGAGGCCAAGGCGGAAAGACCAGAAGTTCATGCTTACCCTTGGCTGTGGAACCCAGCGTGGGTTAATTGAAACTCTGTCTCAAAAACAAACGAGGAAACAAAATCTGAAAGATGAGGCTGAGTCAGTGGTTGGGAATGTCCTGCCCCTGCAGCAGCCATGCCAAGCAGCTTACAGCCTCCTGTGACTCTGGAGATGTAAAAATAACCAAAGCCCCAACAAAACAAGGTAGCAATTCTAGGGGTTATGGCTCAGCATTTCTGGTAGGTTTGCTGTTTAGGGCCTTCAAAGCAGCAACAGGAGATCATAGACACAACTGTTAATTTGTTCATCAGGCCTTTCCACTAAGAAATCCCGAGCTGTTGCTTGTGGACTTTTCATTGCTTCAGACATTTCTTTGTTCTGAGTACTTAGCACCTACAGACTGTCTAGCTTAGCAGGTTGATGGACACTTTGAGCATATTTTATGGAATTGGGTGTGTGCACAGGAAGGATACGTGGCTGTTCTGATGGTTTTGAAATTACTGGGGTGTTTCTAAGTGCTGCCCGTGAGTGTGGGAGCCGTGAGCAGTGGCTGATGGAAGAGCCACAAGGCTCTGGTCCTCGGGATGCGCTGCACTGAGGCACACGGCTGGTGTGAAGATGATGCGTGTGCGGAGCCCTCTGCGGTATTCAGTAGAATGTGACTGAGGTCTGTTAGCTTAGTCACAGATGGTCAGGCTTTTCTGAAGTGATTTTGCCCGAGACCAGAACGAAGAAAGGGAGCCATATTCAGGGAGGGTCGCTCTGCAGGAGGAATAAAAAGTACAACGCTTTCCTGCGAGAGGAAATTGTGCCTGGAGTCTCTTCAGGAAGACTGAGGTTGAAGGGGGCACACTGGGGAATGGTGTTGCCATCCCTGTTGTTCTCTGAAGGACTTTGTCCCTTCCTGAACTGTGATTCATTTTAAAACATACATCTTTTTCAGATCAGGTATTTGGATGCAATCTTGCTAATCTGTGTCAGAGAGAGAATGGGACAGTGCCAAAATTTGTGAAATTATGCATTGAGCACGTCGAAGAACACGGTAAGAAAATGTTCCCAGTTGTGTTTTCACATTGGTGGAAACCGCATTGTTTCAGCATAGAATTCTTAGGTCTGGGCCAGCAAAATGGCTCAGCTCTGGCTACGAGGCCTGAGGACCTGAGCAAGAACTATTCTCTAGTTCTCTGACTCTGACTCCCACATGAGCACGGCAGCACCTTCGCACACACACAGTAAACAAGTGGAGTAGAAGCCCTGTGGGGCTTTGTGAGTTTGAGTGAGGGAACCAAAAGTTGCTGTGGCCCTGAAATGTGTAAAAGGAGGCGAAGCATTCTGTTTGCAGAAATGCTGCATACTTTCACCCGTTTCAAATTAAGGCCTTCAGGCGGCAGTCAGTGCTTGCTGTGTCACTGCTATCTGCCCAAGTGTTTTGGAGTAGCCAGTGCTTCAGTGTGAACAGCGCTGAGTGTGAAGCCCAGCTCAGGGCTGGCGTTCCCTCAGCAAGAGAATGCTGTGTTGTGATAGGAAGGGAGCTCAGCTATAAAGTAGCTGAATAGGTCCCATAGGTCATTTCCCGAGAGTGAGCCAACTGGTTGGAATTTCTATTTATTTTTCACGCTTAGTTCTACTAGCTTCTCATGACTGATGGTGCACTGAATACAGCGCAGCGTGCGTGCATCCGTGTGTCAGGGGCACTCAGCACGCTTAGCACCTGTGTCCGTGTGTAACTTCTGACAGTTTCAGCTGTTTTGCTCATTGTCAGCTGTGCCAGTCAAGGCTCTGGCAAATGATCAGTAGCACACCAGAAATGTGCTTTGTTCAGTATGTGCAGCTTTGGTGTTTAACAACTATTGCTTAGGTTTAATTACGTGAATTTCAAATGATGCTGGCCCCTACCTGAAAGGATAAGTGTATCCTGTGATGCATTCTCTACAGGATCACTAGGCTCTGGCATCTCCCAGAAGCATTAGTGTGACAGGAGTGTGCAGGGAGAGCCAGCTTCTTTCGTGTTGCATTCACATTGTAAGACCCTGTGCAAAAGGTGGCTGGGCTGACCGAAGCTTCACTTTTAAACTGCCCAGGTGTCACCAGCTTTCTCTCAGTTGGTGGGATTCTGAGTTTCCTGATTCTGTCTTTCATGAGCTAAGCCACAGTGTGCATGATAAATGGCTGCTTGGTAAACAGAATTCACAGTAATTGCCACCTCATTACCCCGCCAAGAGTCTAAGAGGCCGTTTAGAGGAAGAGAATATTTGTGCATGTGATTTTCAGTTAATGCCAAGAACATGAGTTCCGAAGCTGCGTGCTGTCTCTGCTCGGGCAGCTGAAGCAAAGGATTGCTTGAGCCCAGGATTTTGAGGCCAGCCTGGGCAGCATGATGAAATCCCCAAATGGAGACATTTGTGTATCTTAGAAGCAGCAAATGAGTTTATCTCAAACATTGACTGTCTTTCCTCGTAGGCTTAGATGTGGATGGTATCTACAGGGTGAGCGGTAACCTCGCCGTCATCCAGAAGCTGAGGTTTGCGGTCAATCATGGTAAGAACGCACTCCCGACTTTTACATCCAAAAGCATCACCCTAACTTAAAAAAAAAAAGGTTTATGCCTGCATGTGTGCCTGCTCTCCAGAAGAGGGCTCTGGATCTCACTGTAAATGGTTGTGAGCCACCATGTGGTTGCTGGGAATTGAACTCAGGTCCTCTGGAAGAGCAGCCAGTGCTCTTGACCTCTGAGCCACCTCTCCAGCCCATTGCCCATAACTTTAAGATTGGTTCAAAGCAATTTTTGAAATTGTCTGTTTCTGTTCTTTTTCAGATGAGAAACTGGACTTGAATGACAGTAAGTGGGAAGACATTCATGTCATCACTGGAGCACTCAAGATGTTTTTTCGAGAATTGCCAGAACCTCTTTTTACGTTTAATCATTTCAATGATTTTGTTAATGCAATTAGTAAGTATGCTGTTCTACCTAGTTTTTTCTTGATACTGAAAAATTGCTTTACAAATTAAGCTATGGCATTGTTGAGTCTTTTTTAAACAGGTTTTTCAACATATTGTGTAAGAATTTTAAATTCGACCACCAGGTGTCACTGTGTGTCGCCAAACACCAGCTTTCAAACTGTCATTGCCTTTCATTCTGTAAGAATCTGCTGCAAACTGTCTGCTGGTCTCTGTTTTAGAGCAAGAGCCGAGGCAGCGTGTCCCTGCTGTGAAGGACCTAATCAGACAGTTGCCAAAGCCAAATCAAGATACAATGCAGATTCTGTTCAGACACCTCAGAAGGTAAGAAGCTGCACGGTAGGGGGCGTGGGGTAGCACCCACAGGGCTGGGGTCACGCAGACCTTATCCTGTTCCCAGTGCATCGCTTGCTGTCTCTGGAAGTCCCAAAGAGAAAGTCAGCTTAGAGTGTGTGTTTCTTCTAGTAGAATGCTCTGCTGAGAAGACTTTGTTCAAGTGTATATTGTGGGTAAAGTGTTCGTGTAATGCTTGTCAGACAAGGCCGCAGCTCGCCGGCACGAAGACGGGTGGCCTAGGTGAAGCCACCCTCGTGGCTCCGCATGTCTCCTGCACTGCTGCTCAGTAAAGGATGTTGTCCCTGGCACACAGACAGTGCCGGGATAGTAGAGCAGCCTGTCAGACATGCGCTGGCCAAGCTGAGGTCCCCCTTCAGTCCCTAGGACCCAGGGTAGAAAGAGGTAAGAGATAACTGGCGCTCTCGGCTTGTTCTCCAACTTCTCACGTGCACTGTGGCATGTGTGTGCGCACGCACACACACACCCCAAATAAAAACTAAAGTACCACAGAGACAAGTTTAATGCCATTTAATTGAAGCCGCCACGCGGAGGATAGGTGACTGTCACCTGGTTGGCCGACCTGTGAAGGGCTGCCCCTGCGGCTGTTAATTAGAAACCAGCCTCATGCAGCCGCTGGCCTGGAGTCTCCCTGGTTAACCCTGATGTGTCACCCGGCACGCTGAGGGCCCTTCTCGGTGCTGGCCACCCACTTCATGATGCAGCTCGAAGTTTTCCTGTTTCCAGTAAGTCTGCTTTCTCCCCAGGGTCATAGAACATGGAGAGAAGAACCGAATGACCTACCAGAGTATAGCCATCGTCTTTGGCCCCACCCTGCTGAAGCCAGAGCGAGAGACGGGTAACATAGCCGTTCACACGGTGTACCAGAACCAGATCGTGGAGCTGATTCTCCTGGAGCTGAGCACTGTCTTTGGACGCTGATGCCCACAAAAGACAGCCTATGGACCAGACAGTGATGCCAAGACTTCAAGTCCTGTGCCTGGTGTGTTTCCTTGTGGACCAAGCAGTGGCTTTGACTTTGCACTTTGTGAGGGTCAGAGGAGAAGAGGAGAGTGAAGGTGCCAGCTGGCCCTCATCTGCTGCTTTGCTCAAGCAGACAGCAAGCTGTGACTGTGTGATTTTGGATTCATATTATCCTGGATGCTTGTATTTCATACTCTGAGTATCATAAAAATCAAAACTCAAAATCCCCCCCAGTCAGACACACTGGATAACTCGGTAAGGAACACTATGTGGGTCCCCTGTGTCATAGTCCTTGCTGCCCCCAACCTAGATACTGTGGAGCCCTCCTCATGGCCTGTAAGCTCTTCACGTGGTACAATGGTAGTCACTGTCAGTTTTTTTAAAATGCTCTTGGGTGTTTGGAACAAATGAAGTTGATCCATTTGAGCCCTGTGCCCTGCTTTCTTGAGGGTTTTCCGTGAGTGGCAGTCTTAAGTGCTGGAGCTCATCACCCAGGCAGAGTCCCTTGGGGATGGTTTGCTGTCTGACTTTTCTGTCTCATAGCACCCTTGCTGGACACCGTAGTTGCTTATTGGGGCAGCAACTGACAGTACTTAAAACACTGTGATATACTGAGTTCTGTTTAGACTAAGTCAAATCAGGGTATTTGGTACCTGTTGGCTGTACCGAAGTGTAGCTAACAATCCTTATTCTATTTAGTGCCATATTGAGTTCTTGGCATGACCCTGTGGAAACATTGCTGTAAATATGGGGTGAGGAGTTAATATAATTAGTGTCTGTATATAGCTGCTGTCTAGGCTCAGAGTACATCTAACCTCATGTCTCTCAAGGCATTGTTAGCCGCTTCCATGAGCATTAGGCCTCCTCCAGAAACAGGCCATTACTGGAAAGTTAAACTGTGCACCTTTAGTTTGAACTACATCACTTCAGTGAGAACGGTACTGGGAAACACTGAACGGCCTTGCCAGCCAGTCAGCACTACAGGAGGCGCCCTGTCCGTTATTTAATTCCCTCAGAGGAAGGTAGGAAACTCACTCCAGAATTCTCACCCCACTGTGGAAACCTGTGTAAATTAGAGGGTGTTGGCTAGAAAACGACCCTGCAGAATTCGAGTATTTTCTTTTTACATTACTAATGAAGATTGATTTGTATAATAAAGCAGAGTTTGGAAGGTTTTGTTACAGGGAGGCATGGTCTGTTGAAGATTTTTAAATGTATTTTTCTAGATTAACTGCTGTATATGAAATGTCTAATCTAATAAAGAAAACTATAAGATGCTTAGAGATTTTTTTTCCCATTGGAAATGTGCATTTTGGTTCTTAATTTTGTTGTTTTGTTTTGTTTTTATTTACTGGCATAATTTTATACCTCATTTTAGAAAATCAACCAAATCCATATTTCCTGTGGCAGATTGACTTTTTCACTTCCTGTGTTTTCTCGTCTTTCTGTACCAACATCTTAACACCACACACCACTTCATCATCAGTGTTTGAAAGGAAATGATTTATGACCATGTTTCTTCTTTTTTCCTAGGATTGCATTTATAATTTTCAGATTGCCTTCCTGGGGAACAATTTGTGTGTGTGTGTGTGTGTGTGTGTGTGTGTGTGTGTGTGTGTGTGTGATCTGTCTAGATCCTTTCTCCTAGGTCTTGTGGTGAAGATACTGTTGTGCTGTTGTAATCTTCTTAATAGGCTACGCTGCTTGACAGCGACACAGATCTTTGGGTAGGGAGACGGTCCCAATCAGAACATGTAGACCTAAGATGCCATTAGTAACCAGTATGCTTTAGGGCTCTTGTGTCTTGACTGTGTACCAGGAAGTCATTAGACTCAAGTCTGTGGCCTGTGGTGTTTCCTCTCGGTGGTCATGAACATGTCAAAGGGTTAAAAGTGTCCCGTGATTCTTGTTTCACAGTACACGCGTGTGTGCGACGTCTTTAATGTTGTATTGCTGTACCACTAATAATTGTAATAGTGTGTGTGTACAATGAGGTCAACGTCTTGTGTTCTCATCCGTTGTGAATTAAAAATGATCAGTTGTTTTTGTAATAACAAAACCAGTAATATTTTCCTGTCTTGACAACTTGTTTTTTTAGCAGAAAATATATTAAACGCTAGAAACAAATATTATTAGTGGAATTTCATTCATTAATGGGCTTTCTTCAAAACATCATAAAAGAGATAATTGAAAGGGATCGTGTATTCAAATCTGTCAAAATTCTAGTTAGAAAAATGCTGACTTATGTTTTGTGTCAGTGTCACATTTTATCTTTTGCTCTGAGGAATATGAAATAGCTCTGAAAAGGCAGTGTGTTTTCAATAGAGACGAATCCATTTCTTGCCTTTTGTGAATATTACAGATGATGAATTCAGCCAGACTTGAAACTTCATGGCATACAGCATAGAGCCATACAGACACACGCACATGTGTGTGCAGAGCTGTTGCCTGCGGAAGTTAACACTCACCGGAAACAGTGGCCGCTGGCTGCACCTGTGACTGCTTAGTGTCACACTTAACTCTTTGGAAGCTGCAGCATCGGACAGTCAGTCTGTAGCAGCAGAAAAAGTTACTCGGTCCTTGTGCCAAGAGTATTTTTCCAGCTAGTGAGAGAAACTCCCAGGTCCAGTCCATAGGGAGTGTGTCAGTGGCACTTTGCCGATGGCCCTGTAAGCGCAGGGGCGCAGAACACAGCCGCCTTCGCTGCTGCAGTGATGTTCCAGGGCTGCCCGTGACAGGGTGGCCTGCAGCTCCCAAGTCCACCTCAAGCCTGAAGCTGCAGCCCGCAGCCGGTCTGGTGGGCCTCGCTCGGGAAGCGTCTTGTGACCACAGGGGTCATGTAATGTGCCTGCTGCTCAGTGTGTGTCCCGGCAGGGCAGGGTTGGAAACAGCGCAGTTGTGTGGACATTTTCTAGAACAGCTACTACAGTCACTTCAGTATGTCCAGAAAGCCAGCAGCCTCGTGACAGTGGTGTTTGGAATGTCTTGGAAAGTCGGGCCACACCGAGCCAGGCTGAGTGTTGGGAAAAGGGAGGCACAGGATGCCGGGTGAGATGCTCTCTGCTCTGGCGGGTGAGGAGACGCCCTCCATGCACTTCTGTAGACCCAGGGTGGCCGCAGCTGAGTGCACACTCACGAGAGAGCCTTCTGCAGGTCTGCGCTTGAAGGAAGCCTTTTGTTTTCGTGGGGCCGTGTGAGCAGAAGCCCCTGGTAGAACTCGTACGCAGCTCCTGCAGGACCCAGTGGTGATGGGGCACGCCACTGCAGTACACACTTAGCAAAGCCTGCTTTCTCTCCCCCCCCCCCCCCGGGACTTCCTGCCAGCGTGCTGGCATGTTTAAGCCGGAGCTCGGCTGCTGTGGCTCAGGCCCATGCCACCGTCCTGAGCCACACCCCGGGGAGCTGTGTGGGTGCTCAGGCCGTAGCGGCCCATCCAGGCCGAGTCGAGGCTCCATGACTGGAGATGATGCCACATCCACGGCCTCTGACCTCTCCTAGAGGCTCGGGCCCTTGGAAAGCCAGTCTCTAAGTGAAGGATGAAAGGCCGGGCCTCATAGCCCCGGGTTTCCTCTGTAACAAGCCTGGGGGGCCTGCGGATGCCAAAAGTGCAAGCGCACCCCTCAGCTTCGGTTCCTTACCCGCAATAAAAAGTATTGAGTTTATTCATGAATTCTGGGCTGTTTGATCAAAATTGTTTATTAACATTTTGTGTGGTAGATTTCAATCATGTTTCTTAACCCTCTCAGATTCTTCCCACCATTCTACATACCCAACTTGATGTTCATTCTCTCAAAAAAAGAACAAAACAAAAACCAGAACAACCAATAAGACCAAACTCCCCCCCCACACACACACACACAAAACAAACAGAAATCACATGAGTTCACTTTGTGTTGGCCCCTGGCTGCGCGTGCACCGCCCTGAGCTGTGGGACACGCTGGCTTTTCCCTGTACCGGTGGGTGTCACTGCAGATGGCCTCTGGGTCAGGGTGGGCCTGTGTCGCTGAGGGGTGTGGTGAGGCTGTCACACGAGTTAGTCCTTGGATCATTCTGCTGAGCCTGGGAGACGTGGCTTTGAAGTCATCCCCTGCCTCCGGCACTCCAGCTCCTCTTCTGTCCGATTCACTTTCCCACAGACCCTGAGGGCCTTGCTGGAGTCATCCCACTGGAGGCCTTCCAGGAGCAGCTTCGCCGACGAGCTTGTGCACTCGCTGCACTGTGGGTCAGAGCAGCGTGACATTAGCCAGTGTTAATGATTAACCGTTAATTGAACGTGATCAATCCGGGTTAATCTGTCCTGCGTTCAAGCAGGCCGCCTTGGGGATGCCTGAAGCCTCGGGCAGGAGCAAACTATCTCTGCCTGTATTTACGCCTCTCCCCTTTCGGATGCATTTGTTTCTCCTGATGTGGGTCTGGATTTGTGGATTCAGTTAACCACTGACCCAAAAAAGCAGCGTATCAGAGATTTGCTTTGTAAGTAATCAAGATGCGTAGGCGTGGCGCGGTGACACAGTGAGCACCGTCGGGTTAAGGGCCTCGGGCCCCTGGATAGCAGTGTCTGCCAGGGAAGAGAGTCTTAGACCTGATCCCCGGAGGCCCTGAGGGATGGAAGCACAGGTTTCTCCATTTCCCTGAAACCCTGCCAGACACCCCAGCACGACTCTGTCTGTTGATGGTTTGTTTTTATGACTCAGCGTTTCCTGTGCATCGCTGCACTTGTACTGTGGGGCCGTCGTTAGGTAAATGAGGTTAACTTGAAAGCAGACGCTGGTACCCTGCAGTGGCCCGGGCTAACGACCAGCTGACACACGGTTGTGCACACTGTGTTCGCCCGATGAAAGGATGGTTTGTGTCTGGGGCGGGATAGAGATTGCATCTTTCTACTCGGTAGTGAACGAAGTTGGGAATGCTTTTGTTTTTCATTTGATATTTTTGAAACTACCACTGTACAGTTTGTCGGAAGCAGCCATAGTCACAGGAAGAAATAGCAGGAAAGGAGAGATTACTGTAAGGTGCATTCAAGTATGAGCTAAATACCATTCATGTGTGTGTGTGTGTGTGTGTGTGAGAGAGAGAGAGAGAGAGAGAGAGAGAGTTGTCTCATTTTGTGGACTTATTGTCAGGTGAAGATAATTTTATGTAACACTGAAATTCTATTCTTTTACAGATGCTTATTAGGTAGATAGTGTGGGACAGGCCCTGGATTGTGCCATCTCTTCATCCTGGCTGCATGGAAAATAGACTAACTCTGTCTCTGTCTTTCTCTCTGTCTCTTCCTCTCTCCCCCCCCCCCCACCCCAACAAGCAGCTTGAGGGTTCTGTTGGTGTCTGTTGACATTCCTGGACAGGCCGTGCGTGTTCATCTCTGTAGTGTGCCTGGGCTTTCACTTCCGTGTCACGGGCTGTCCAAACACTGTGGGTGCCAACCCATGTGGACATTCTTTGTGGTAACACAGTTAGAGCTTGTTCTTCTAAGTGTGTAACTCGTAGCTGGACAGTCACAGTGTGTAATCAGCTGCCCCGCCTTCACCCGACTGACGGCTGTGCCCACTGAACAGTGACCTCTGCTCCGCCTCGAGGCCTGCCTCATACATTTCTGTTTCCTGTCTCTAGTTGTAACTGATTCATCTAAATGCGGTCATATAGCGTTTGCCTTTTATGACTGGCTTGTTCGTTTCCTTAGTGCCTTGGCGGTGCTTCCATTTATAGCACATTGCGGCGTTCCCGTCCCTTCATAGGCTGAGTAATGTTTTGTTAGGCGTTGTCTGTCGGTAGGCAAGGTGGATAGCGCGTCCTGGTCGCTGTGCATGGTAGGAGACAGTGTGGGGAGCTCACTGTCTTTTTGAGACTCAGCTCTTGGTGGGAGGCAGAAGCAGGAGGCTCAGCAACCAAGCCCATTCTGCACAGTGAGAACCAGCGTGTGAGGCCCTGACTACCCGCAGCACAAAGGACTCTTTGCAGGGGTGTTTATGTCTGACCCCAGAGACAGCAGGTAAGACAAGCTTTACTTCGTGACAGTCAGTGAATTAAGCCAACAAAAAGGGGCACAACAAGAGATAGAATATTTACAGTCGTGTCTGGTAAAGAACTGAGCTGCAGGGCTGGGGAGGTGGCTCAGCAGTTAAGAGCAACAGCTGCTTGTTCAGAGGTCTTGAGTTCAAGTCCCAGCAACCACAGGGTGGCTCACAACCATCCACAATGAGATCTGATTCCCGCTTCTGAATGTGTGTGAAGACAAAGCACTCATACACCTTTAAAAGAATGAGATGCAAAACAAAAACCCAATTCAGAACAAGCAAAGGACTTGAGTATGTTCTCCAAAGATCCGCAGTCAGTGAGCCCAAGAAAAACGGAGTGTCTGGTCAGTTTGAAAAGATAGTTTCATACCACTGCCTGAAGGAAAAGCAGAAGTAAGGATGTGAGAAGTGGGAATGTCTGTGCCCACTAGTCCTGTGCTGAGGATGTAAAACAGTGTCACCCCAGAAGGGTCGTTCCTCAACAACGCCTTAGTCACAGAGGTTCACGTAACATCTGTGGACGGCATTATGTCATCCTCAAGAGAATATTCTGGAAGATTGGAAGTGAAGAATAAGTAATTACAAAACTTGTTTGTTTTGCTCAAGTTCTTAGATCTGAGAACTAAGACAGAGTGTTTGGTTCTAAGACACGAGAATCTAATATTAAGGAGGGAATGCAGATGAAATAGAGGGCTTCCCAGCCTGAGGACCTGTCACAGCAGAGGCCTAGGTATTGGGCTGGCTGGCTGGGAAGAATGTGGCAGGGTTCCAGTTACAGCTTTACCAAAGACATTGAAATTGTCTTGAAGGATTCTCTTCAGGGGGTTATGCATGTGCTGCGAGAACCTTTCTAGAAGCCGTGTTGCAGGCTTACACTCAAGAAATAGGAATTTCTACTAGAAACTCTGTAGGAACAGCTGTACGCACTGCAGGCTGCAGGGGTGTGCTGGAGAGGGCAGCGAGGTCTCTAGATAACTGAGATCCAGGCATGAATAAAAGAACATTGTTGGTGTCACTGGGCCTGCACATGCTCGCTGAAGCATAGACTGCAACCTCAGAGGGCTCTCAGAGCAGGTGGGCAAGTCGTACTTTTGTTTTTCATCAAATTAT